CAACAACAGTGCCATCAAGCGGTTCTTGGTCTAAGCTTTTCCCGACTGCTGGAAGGTCTCGCCGCAATCCTGGTTGCAGTTGTGATGGGTGTGAGTCAGGGTGGTGTTGGAGGGCTGGGCTGACTCCAGCCGGGCAACAGCTGCTCGGAACGAATTTCGGTTCTTGTTGGGGCAGTGCCTGGCCATGTGGCCACTTCCCCCACAGTACAGGCAGCGGCCTTCGCGGAGCCGGGCAGCAAGCTCTTGGTCTGGGATCCTGCGGCTATTGGCACTCAAGTCCATGGCTCCGGGGGCCGTTCCTGTGGCAGTGGTCGTCGCGGGCATGGTGTTGTGGGTGGTGTGCCTGAGCGGCTCCGTTGGGTGTGGGGCGCTACTCTGCCGAGGGGGGTTGGTGGTGCGGCGTCCCTCACGAAGTTGGAGGGCACGCAGCTCGGAGTCAAGGCGTTGACAGAGGGCCACAAACTCATCGTAGTTGAGGCCCTGAGTACGGCCCACAAGTTGCCGGTGGAGTTCGATGGATACTCCTTCTCGCAGCGCGTCAAGTTTCGCATGCTCGTCCCAATTGAGCTTGGAGACAAGCATCTGGAATTCCGCAAAGTAGGAGGTGAACTCCTTATTGCCTTGTTTCAGGTGGTGTAGCTTGGCTCGAGCGGTGGCCGCTGGGTCAGGGTCACCAAATGCGTTGTTCAGGAGTGTGATGATCGCATCAGCGTCGATGAGGGTGATGTTGTGATTCTCGATGTATGGCAGGATCTGGGCTTGGGCGCGGCCTTCCAAGCGGTTGAAGGCATAGGCCATTCGGAGTGCTGGAGTTGGGAAACAGGCTGGGTCGCTGTACAGCTTGAGTCGAAGTTGCGCAACGAACCCTTCCAGTTTCTCGCGTGTTCCGTCGAACATGGCTGGCTCTGGGACACGCTCAGCGCGGCTTTGAGGTTGGGTTTCGACGGATGCGGGGCGGTTGGCGATGCGGCGGGCGTCAGCAAGTTGTTCTTCGAGGTCGTCGAATCGCCAGGTCGGTACGGCTATTGGGGACTGGGTGATTGCGCGGGCGAGGATTCTGAATTCATTGTACAACCCCATCAGGGTTGCGTCATCGGCGCGTACATCATGATTGACGATGATCTCGAGTTGTTTGTAGATAGCGGCAGGAATTTCTCGGTAGAAGGGGGGTGCCACTGGTACTTCGTCCTGCTGGGGGACGTCGGGTACCTGAGTGTTGGTGGCCATGGTAGTTCGCTAGGTGGAGAGATAGGGGACGCAACAAAGTGTAACGGCACGGTCGGGCAAGGCTCCAGGTAGCGAAGCCAGGCTGAGGATCGGGTTCTGGGTTCGGTAGAGGCAAGACGGGTTCAGGGGACAAGGTGAGGCAGGACTCAGTGCGGACGGCAACTGAGAAACAGGGACTGATACAAGGACTATGGCGCGGACGGCAGCCGAGGCAAGGACAGAGGTAACAGTGATTGAATTAACAAGTTGTTGCGTGAAGAACTAAATACAGAGGGGCAACGGCCCGTTTATATAGAAAATCCTCCACTTCTTCCCGCAACCTGACAATGACCGTGGGCGTGTGCCAGACCCTGAGAAATCCACCTTGCCAGTACCCCACTTCCGTGACTCATACCCTGCGCAGCCGCACTACCCCTGCTTCCTGCACACAGCCCCAATCTCCTGCGACTCATTGCTGCGCTATCCCTGCTCCCTGCACACAGCCCCAAATCCTCTGTGACTCATCCTTGCACTGCCGGTGCACTGCCTCTGCACTGCCCCCCAACTCTCCCGATCCTTGTGCCGACCCTCCCTTCGTCATTCCATCGCGAGCCGTGACACCTACGTGGTGAACTGTTCTGAACCCCCCCGCTGTAATAAAGTAGCCTGGGAAAGTACTCTACCACTCGCCCAAAAGGTATTTTGATGGCTGATTGCCATCATCCCAGTAGCTACTTAAGGCCAGCATGTCTGAACTGTGACAGTATCCCCTCTTTAGGGGCTTACTCCAGGAAGCCTTCAAGTAGTTAACCCCCCATGAGTGAGATTTCATGATAAGAATCTTAAACCATCACTCACTGTAAGCAATGCAATTTCTGGGCAACACTGCAGCAGAGGAAGGTAACTGCTCGCAGTGGGAATTGAACTCATGACCTTGGCAGCCATGAATGTGACACCCCGATAGACTCTCAGGCAGTCAGAGGAAGAGCGGAATGTTCCGAAGTGATCGCGATATAGGAGTGGATAGTAATAGCATAGAGATAGGTTAGGCAGGAGTGAGTAAACCGGATCCACAGTCCAGACAGCGATCGTCGATACGGGTGATGCACAGTCAAGTCCGATACGGCCGAGACGATCTGAGGCAGTGCATCATGGAACCTCGTAGAAAGGAACGCTGATCATGGAACCTGTTATGACGCGCGATTACCAATGTATCGACAAATGGGAGCCTGTAGAACTGGGCCGGTTCTCAGTGCCAACATGAAGATATGTACTACTTACTCTCAGCTGCGCTCGGTTTGGAAGAGGTAAGCACTTCTTTTGTAGTCGGAACGGCTATCCCTGCAACAGCTTACGGCGGCTCTACGGCTTAGACTCAATGGGTGACTCTCCGTAGCGCTTACGCCAGAGCATGACTCAAAGAAGCGTTTGCAACGGAGTTCCCCAAGACAGAGTTTTCCGATCACGTGCCTGGTGTATGGGTAGACTATATAGTCACTTAACTATTGCCACGGAAATTCCAAACACCAGCACAACCAGAAACACCGAACACTACCGGCGATACCCCTTAAGATTAATCCGCTGTGAATTATTGAAATCCCTGACTTTTATTCTACACTCAATATTTATCAAGACTCCGACGTCCCGAAATTGTTCCAATCTCACATAGAAAGAGTAAAAGAAAAAGCTTGAGAGTTGGATATTTGGATAAAGGAATTAAATGCAAAGCTGGAAAGATATCTGGCAATAGATAATGAGGGAAGAAAACTGCCAGCAACCTGGTGGGCCAGTTGCCCGGCTGCATGAGGAGGAAGAGAAGAATAGGAGCTGCTGAGAACAGAAGAGAAAAACTATTGATTGTTTCGAGGAATCGCTGGAGGGAGAAAGTGGCATTTAGTAGGAAAATAATGGGCCAATTATTGGAGAGGATGCACGAGAAGAGATTGTACTGAATCTTTAAGGATTTAATAGAGCTTTTTTACGCCGCTTTGTCAAACTTTGGCCGCCCTGAGATGTCGGCACGAACAAGGTTCTGCAGTGGAAGGTTGTGGTCTCGACGCCCGCGACGGACTGTCGATGAGTGAAAAAATCACGTGAAACGCTGTGGAGATAATTATAGATAAAAGCCACTCAAGCTAGGCATTTTATGGGTAACGCTAATCAGTTAGTTTCTTCAGGCCAATTCCACAGGTATACCACCTCTTTATTTGCTTAGGGAATTTCCTGGTGCGTCTCCTCTCCCTCGGTCACTCTACGATACTTCTTGTTTACAGCCCTATCGCGGTGGCAGACCCAAATCAACCACACTGCTCACCAGTCCTAATACCCCTGTGGCGCAACCCCGTGCACGCGGCCACCAACGTCGCCCAGAATGCCGCTGAGTCCGCTGTTCCTGCTCCATTTCCTGTCAGTGCGGAGACGTCTTTTTACGACATCTAATGCGTCAAGAGTACACAGTTACCGCGGAGCTACCGTTGGAGTAAATACGCCGCTTCTACCCCACGCCCCAGGTTGGAATCTCGCCGAAGGAGGACTTAACCGGTGAACGCGATTGTGCTCTGAAACGGAGTATTCATCTATCCATTTATGGACAGTCTCTTTGATCCGGCATCCTCTCTTCGCCATCTTAAATGGCCATCTCTACTCCGACATGTACCCTTCCAGAAAGGCCTTTCGTCGCCTCACCTCCAAGGGTCGGCCATGACATATGTGGTCACTCCATGTAGCAATACTTATGTCGAATCCTTTACGTACAACTGTGGTCGGTTGTTTAATTTCAGGCATCATATTTAACCGTATGCACGCATCCTACTCGTCAAATCTAAGAGCAATGCGCCTAAAATTGAGTCATCCTCAGCATCAACTTCTCTTGCCCCCTTTGCCAGCCGTTTCCTCGCCCACACAGCGCCTTGCCCACAGAGGCAGTTGCATGTTGCAACGCTGCCAGGCGTGGCGAGTACCGGTGTGCCGAACCTGAAGACAACAACGATACCGCACGGTCCATCTCACCGCATGAAGGCCCGTACATCCGGGGCCACCGTTGGCGATGTTGCAGGCGAGTTCGACCATTGCCTTGCGTCAGCAGAACTCAATACTACCACCGGTCGGGATGGGGTTGGCGGATCGCGTCCAGGAACACCCGCTATATCTCCGGACACACGTGGTGTCGTAGGCCGAGTATCTGCTGGCAACCCGGCGAACCCCCCGTGACGCATAACGACGCCTGGCCGTCTCGCTAACTGGTCAATCGTGCGCGTACATATGTACTTGCACGTGGGAATACGAGCGGTCTGGGCCGCCGATTCCCCGGCCCCGATCACTGAACTCGGCACTTGCGAGGTTGATACATGCATACCTGCGATGTTGCGCATCGGCGCCTAGCCCATCCGATGTACTATATCGGTATATACTGCTTACTACCGACCTAGCTGCACAACCGGGATTCTGATTTTCCCCAGAGTCGACCGATCCATGAGACAGTCTACGTATGTGCGTCGGCTCGCTTCAGCGGAAATGCCACTGGCTGTGGGTAAATACCCATTCAACCCAATTGGAATAAGCAATTGCAGGCATCTTTGTTCCCCGTGGGCACTGGAAGATGTGACACGACACGCCTTGCAATCAACGGACCTAGATACATAGTATATACCTTAGTGGCAGAGCTTGCTCCGTGACGAACTCATCCCTGCGCGGTAGGTACTCTCTGCAGGGTGACTGCCAGGCGGCCTGAATATCTGCGCGCCCAGAACTCAATCGATGCGGGCCCCGGTCACAACAGTACCTATCTATTAAATGTTGTCTACGGCTAGCGGTAGTATACTTGCCCGGCCGGCGTATAGCAGCGGCTGTTAAGACGTTGGTTGGCAGTTCGATATGGCAGGCAGCTGCCCCGGCATGAAACTCGGCCACAGATTCTGCATGAATTCCGTGGTATTAATAGCTCACAATATACAGACTGCTGCTCGATCTAGGATGCAGTAGCAATTGCGTCCCTAGCCGGCTTTCCCGTTGCTTGAACTATCGAGGTACCTCACGCGTCGGCGGATGGATAGGAGATGGAGAAGGGTCGCCGATGACATAAATACTAGTGGCTATCCGCACTGTATGGTCTCGATCACCAGCCACACGACAGCACAGCTAAGGCCAATTCGAAGCGATGAAGTTGATCAGCGTTCTTTCCTCCCTCGTTCTCGGCGTTGCGACGCTTTCCGCCGCACTTCCCGCAGCGGATTATGGTCAGTCCACGACGACGAAGGGATGCACGAAGCCAATGATCCGGAAGGACTGGTACGTTCACCGGTTGCCATCCCGCCGGCTCCCCAGCAGCTAACCTCTAGCAGGCGTACTCTGAGCCAGAAGCAGAAGATCAACTATCTCGACGCCGTCAAGTGTCTGATGCACACTCCGGGCAAGAAGACCGGCATCGTCAGCCGTTTCGAGGACTTCCTGACCGAGCATCAGGAAAAGACGGCGATGGTCCACTTCAATGCCGTCTTCCTGCCGTGGCATAGGCTGTTGCTGTACGAGATGGAGAGGGTGCTCCGCAGCGAATGTGGCTATCGCGGTGCGATTCCGTACGTACCCCGACTCTTCCCCGCACCCTGACGGTGTCTGACAGCGCATGCAGTTATTGGGACATGAAACAGGACGTCGCAGACTTCCTCGCCTCGCCGGTCCTCAACGGCCGCGTTTCCTTCGGCGGCAACGGCTTGCCGAGCCCCGACGCACTACCGCCGTACAACACCACCGCCGGCGGGGCCATCACCGACGGATGGTTCGCGGGAGAGCTAATCCACGTCGGCATCGGCAATGACACATCGCCCGCTTTGCGCAACATCACGCGGAATATTTCGCAGCACTACGCTAGCGCGTGGCTGACGCAGAAGCAAGAGGACACTGTCCTCTCCGAGACCGATTTTGGCGAGTTCACGCTCTCGCTGGAGGGCCGGCTGCAGCTAGATCCCGTAAAGTACGCCGAGATCTGGGGAGTCCATGCCGGCGGCCATCGTGCCGTCGGCGGCGATATGCAGAACGCTTGGAGCTCCCCCAGCGATCCGCTCTTCTACCTGCACCACGCGAATCTGGATCGCATCTGGGCTACCTGGCAGGCGGCGAACCCTGAAGACAGGCAGTGGCAGATGATGGGGCCGATCGCTCCCAGGGCCCCGTTCTTGGGCACGTGGCCGTACACGCCGCCAGCTGGTAATGTGACGCTGGACTATGTGCTCGATCTGGGCGAGTTGGGGGGAGACAGGTTGAACGTTAGAGTGGCGAGGGTCATGGACACGAGCGGTAGTATGCCTGAGGACGATGAGGACGAGGCGCTTTTGTGCTATCTGTACGATCAGTTGGCGTAGTTGGGGTTACATACCGGTAGTAATAGCGACGTAATGTAATTAATAACATGGCTGTGAGCGAATTGTCCGAAGTTTGGGAGTTCGTAGCAATGTGGTGGTTGAACAAGGATTCGAACTGTCGCCGGTCTGCCGTATCAAGACGCCTTGACGCCGCTGTTGCCTGCAATCCATAACCGCAACATACTGTGTACAACGTGACATACCCCGCACGTCTCTACACTCAAGCGCTTCACCATCACAGCCGTAATGTGGAACGGCCAGTCAACACCCCGCGACAAGAACCTCACGTTCTTCAGACAGGCAGCACATAACATCAGCTTCGCATTGGGCCAGGCCGGTGAATGCACTCTCCTCGCTCGCACAACCGGGGGCCCGTGGGGGGGGATACCTATATCCGTGCTGAGTCCCGCGCAATCACAGGTACCTTCACGGCATACATCCCGCCCTTCAAGATTCCGACCGAGGTCAAGCTACGGAACGTGCGCATGAACTCCGCCCCCAACCCCAATGTCGCGTAGCGCTACTGACCGAGCGCCACTGCACAGGGTCTCACACGCGAACTCACAGAGCTGCTGAAGGAGCTTACCGTCAACACTGCCCTCTCGATCTCGGACTCGTTCCCCAAGCCCACAGACTGAGTGCTAATCGACATCACCGCCGGCCGGGAGCGGCGCTTGACATCCATGACGCGAGTGCAGGACTGCATAACCGCGGGGTCGACGTGTCTCCTGCTTTCAACGGTTGGAGCGGCGGAGTTCAGTGATGGCGAGAAATCTATGAATGGCGATGATCCTGCGGAGACGGTCAGGAGGTGGATGGAGAAGGTGCCACAGTCGCAGGTAGCAGCGGGCGACGGGCTGTTTACTCCTGGTGGTAGTGATGATGGAGTCGCGAGTTGGATGGCAGCTGCCAGGGTGCGAGGATGCGCAGAGAATATACGTGTGTGTGATATCTACGAGACTACGTGTGTTCCGCTATAATACCAGCGCCTTTCGTAAATTCTTCCTCGTGTCCGTTCCACGACGTAATTAATCTTATGCAGTACTTTTATCATATGATCATCCAGAACCACTACTGCAGTGTTCTCCATTATCCGGTCCGGACTGGACGGGATCAGTCCAGTCCCGTCCTTTCCTTTTGGAGGACGGGATAAACGTAGTCCGTCCGGTCCGCCATTTTACCAGATGGGCTTGGACTACAGTCCGGTAGTGAAAGAAAATGCCCCTCTTTTCCGCACTTCCACTACCCAGTGCAAAAGTAATTCCCACTATCTTGTGTTGAATTTCGTCCAGTACCAGCAACGCCGTCGCGTCACCTTCATCCAGTGCACCTACCTACTACACACATACTTCCCTCAGTCACTACAACCGCCGATAACACGGCGCGGAACTTTCTCTCTTTTAATTCATCTTGCTTTGTACCAGTCTTTACAGTCTTCGCAGTCAACTGCAGTCCATCCCGTCAAACCTCACAGGTGGACTACCTGTAACCTAGTCTGTCCAACGGACACCTCCGGACGGAGTGGATGTATGTAGTCCAGTCCCGTCAATGGGCCCGCACGGACTGGACCGGACTATGTAGACAGTAGAACACTGGTCCCAGCAGCCATGTAGGTAGCTGAGCACTGCAAGTCTGCAAGTCTGCAAGCCTGCAAGACTCCGGATATGTATCAGTGTCGATAAGTTCGACCTCCGCTGTCGAGAAGCTGTGAAACTGCCCAGTCACGGTCCGAGCAGCCTCCTTCCCACCCTGCTTCCCTCCCTACCGCACAGCGGCAGTATTGAAGGACCTGAAGAGACAAAATAACACAACCTAATCCGGATTCGAGGATCGAGAACTGGGAACAGCCTTCCCAAGCATGCATCGCTCACGAGTCACGAGCATGACTAAGAGATGTCGTCGAGACTAACTATACTCCAGCTAATGTTAGCCCCCCCACTCAAAATCTCCAAGCACGTCTGGCGCTTAATTATGCTGTTGCGGTGCGCTTGTCGTTCTACTTCACTACTACACGCCGACGTCCGAGTGTGTATGACCATCATCTAGATGGGTCGCAAGCAACTAACGAAATGATTCAACAGAAAAATATTTCCCTCCCTCCCAGTCGTCAGCTCCCGAACCAAGCGGGTTCAACGTGGACCGACAGAAAGCCTCACAGTTGCGAACGATAATTGTAACGTTCCGAGATGACTATCATAGTAGGCGTTCGTACTTCGGCACTCACTCGGACATGTGACCGGTACACGTGAATCCGTACATATGAATTCGTGCACATGAATCGTACACATGAATCAAATTACATCCACAGTCATAACTACATCCTGCGTGATGAATAGAAAAGAAAGAGAAGGGAAACGCATCACCCAACGGAACTATAAGAAAAAGCAGAGATAACCCCGCGTCTATACCTTACGAATAAGAAAAGAAAATAAAAGCCCCCCCTCCCCCCCCGTCCCCCTCGCATCACTACCGAATCAAAAACATCCACGGTGCAAAAACCGCCATAGCAACTTTCTTCCACATCTTCTTCTTGACATCCTCATCGTAGCCCTCTTCCTGGACCTGTGCTCTGCCCACGACCTCCAAGAACACCATATCCATGGTCCCCCTATCGACACTCCAGAACTTACACCCGCGCTGGGGGCCCTGACTCTCGAGCCTCTTAAAGACGGCAGCGACGCCGCCGCCCTCACTCGCCGGAATCGAGAACCGCACCTGCCCGCCGAAGCTCCGCGGCTCCAGCTCGGCACCGGGGAACGATGACGAGATCCAGCTGTTGACTGTGTTCATTTCCGCCTCTGTGGAGTGCGGCGCACTGGCGAGGACAATGTGCACAAGGTACTTGTCGCCGTAGCGACGACGCAGCTGCTCGGTGGTGCCGAGGGCAAGCATGCGCTTCGCAAGGATTCCGGCGCGACCTGCGAGAGCACTGCACTCTTCCATGCTGTGCGTGGTGAGCACCAGCGAGCGCCCCGGGACGACGGATTCGAGCGTGCGCCACATCACTCTGTCACTTGTAGTCAGCCTTCATGCATCTGTCAACAAAGTAAGAAGGAATTAGTACCTCTTTGCAGCAGCATCCATTCCCGAAGACGGCTCGTCGAGCAGCAACACGGCCGGATTCCCCATCAATGCGATGGCCAGACTGAGCTTCCGCTTGTTACCACCACTGAGCTTCTCCGCGATCCTATAGCGAAAATCATCCAAGCCGACTGCACGGATAACCTCATCCACGTTGTAATCCACATTCTCGACACCTCTGATCCTAGCGTAAAACACCAAGTGTTCCGTGACCGTCATGCGGTCCATCGCGTCGAACTGCGGGCAGACCCCGAGGTGCTGACGTGCAGCGGCGCGGTTCTTGTTCACGAGAATGTTCTGGACGAATATCTCTCCAGAGGTGGCGGGGAGCTCGCCGCGGATCATGTTGATGGTCGTGGTCTTTCCCGCTCCGTTAGGGCCCAGCAGGGCAAACACTTCGCCGCGGGGAACGCCGAACGTCACGTCGTCGACGGCCTGGAACTTCTTGAACTTCTTGGAGAGGTGCATCACTCTCAGCCCATCGTTCGAAGAGTCCACCCGTTGCAACTCGTCCGAAATGTCCTTCTCAGAGAACGTGTTATCCTCCGCATCTCGGGGCGCGGTTGGCTTGCTGCTTCTGTGGAGGAACCCAAAGTTGATGCGCAGCTTTCCAGAATCGTGGAGCACCAGGATAGCAAACAGGACGATCATCTGGAGACATAAGAACAAGATGGAGCTTCCGTACAGCCTCATGGTTCCCGGGTAGGAAATGAGGGATTCGCCCTCGCAGCTGATCGAGAAACTGTTGAGAGCCACGAAGAAGGCGTGTGTGAGACATGCTATGGGCGATAACGCACAGAAAACGTAGTTAGTCACGTCGAGCGCATGATCCAGATCGATCGGCTCCACAAAGGTGTAGATGCTCAGGTAGGTGATCAGGTACACCAAGAAAAAGACAGCCTGTCCTCCAGCTGCGAAGGCGAATGCCGACAGTTGACTCTTGGTGATGAGCGAGATGCAATAGACCAACACCGTCGATGCGACGCCGTAAAGCAGCACGACAACGAAGAGATACCCGAGGTTGTACCATCCATCGGTAGCCGCAGCAAAGATTCCCGTACAGATCACCGAAATTATGAGTACCGAAGCGAAATCGAAGAGGGCGTATGCGAGCCACAGTGGCAGAGCGCGGACACCGTTAGAGAAATGTAGAGCCCTGACATTCTTGATCCTCTCCACCGTGGGGTAGAGGGCAAAGAAAGCCGGGAAAGCAGAGAACGCAAGACCGGCGTAGGCAACAAAGATCATGGTATCTCCCTGTCCTTTCGGCCAGATGTAATCGAACGGAAGGTAGGTTGCCGAGATGCCGCCTGTGACGTTGAACACGATGTTGTCGACAACGTTCTGGAACATCATTGCGCCTCGCAGGGACATACTCTTATCTCCCTGGTAGGCGTAGGTGGCGGTTTTTCCCTCCAGAAAGAGGCCTCCCGGTGTGACGTTCTTGTAGTTGTGGCGGATGTAGTCGTTGAAGGCGGGAAGAGTGTTGGCGAAAGCCAACGAGTTCGTCAGATTCGCGATCATATTGGTAGCCCCACTCCCTCCAGTCCCAGAGGGCAACAAGATATCCGCGAATTCCACCAAGCTGGACAGAATACTTCTAGGTCCAAGAAGCATGTCAAAATCGATGCTAAGCGTCAGATTCTCCACGTCCGAAAGCGAGACCTGCGTAGCTGTATTACACGAGACACCGGGAAACGATTTGAAGGTGAGCTTCGTGATGCCGGCAGCAATGATGGGAATGGCAATGGCCGCGATCTGAGCAAGGTAGTTCCGCTGCAAAATAGTAATCCGCTTCCGGATCAAGACCCAAGTCTGCTGGAAGATTCCGAGATGCCGTCCGTTGTGGAGCGAAACGCCCTTCTTCTCTTCCGTGTCCGAGTTGCCGGTTGAAGAGATCTGGTCGGCGGTCTCACTGACGCCGAGCTTCTCGCGCTCGCCAGTGTTCTCGGATCTGTTGGCGATACTCTCGTCGGCCACGGAGAGGAACACGTCCTCGATAGTAGGGCCCTGGACGTAGTAATCCGACACACCGTTCGTCTCGAGAGCCTCGATGACACGACTAGCCTCCGTCGGGGTGGGAATATTGTAGATGGTCGCATCGTAGAACCTCTTCATCGAAACTCCAGCGAGTGCCGGCGCATTGATGGGTGCATGGACTCGGTATCCACCTCCGTACTCGGTCTTCAACTGCACCGCGGAGCCCTCACATTTGAGGTGGCCCTTCGACAGGATAGCAATGTGATCGGCCAGGAGATCAGCCTCATCCAAGAAGTGAGATGTCATGATGATGGTCCGGAACCCTCTGGCCGCAAGAACGATATCCCAAATCTTCCGTCTGGACAGTGGATCCAGACCGGAAGACACTTCGTCGATCGCACAAACCGTACTGCCACCGGTAAACATCGCCGCAAGTTGCAGCTTCCGCTTTTGCCCTCCGGAGAGAGCCTTGCTCTTGGTATGTCTCTTCCGGGTAAGATCACACTCGTCGATGAGTTTTCGCAAGGTTTCCTGATCGTCGCCACGACACTTTATCAAGTTCCAGATTCGGACGTGTTCATCCACGGTCATGTCGTCCCACAAGACGTTCTTCTGGGGACAGATTCCGATCGCCCTGTCGCCAGCCGCGATGTTGATCTCGCCCTCTTTGACACTACCCAAACCAGCCACTGCCTCCAGAGTAGTCGTCTTTCCGGAGCCATTGGCACCCAGGAGAACCAAGATCTGTCCTGTTACGACGCTGAGGTTCAAGTCGTTGACTGCGATCACGGATTCCTTGCTCTCCGGGCGGCCGAACCATTTCGTCAATAGACGAGGAGGGTACCGCTTGGTGAAGCCACGGATCTCGAGCGCGTTGTTGTCGGTGAGCTGATGGCTGAAGTGACGGTGGCCCGAAGAAGTGGTGCTGAACAGATAGCGTTCGACATATGCGGCCAGAATCGGATACACCAGAGCCTGGACGATGGAAAAGATCCAATACGCAACGATCGGAAGTTGAGACGTGCTACTAGGGGGACCGTCGAGAACATTCGCGCCAATTTGTTTACTTTCCCAACGGCCCAGACTAATGGCGTGGAAGACGTAGGTCATAGGCGGGAAAAGGAAGCCCAATACCGCAAAGGTTCCGGTCGACGCATCCTTGGAGACCTGTGCGATGATGCCAAGGATCAGGGAGAAGACGGTGGCCGAGATACCGCTGAGTTGCGCCTTCTTGAAGAAGGCACCCAGAAACAATGCCCACGAAGCCAAGGCCCATCCGGATGTTATGAGCCAAATAATGATGATGACGACGGACGAGCTGTTGAAGATTCCTCCCCACAGGTTGAGGGCCATAACTATCCAACCGGCAATATAGATGAGCGAAAAGGAGATATGGTAGGACACCATGCGTGCGAACTTGGATCCTCCCATGGCCTCGATCAGAGTCGACAGTCCCTTCTCACGCTCCATCGCTTGAAAACCGGTGAGGTGGTACACTATGCCGATCATACCAATAAGATAGGCAGCAGAGAGATAGTTGATGACGGCAGCAGAGAACCTGAAATAACCCCATCATCAGCAACCACGGGCGGAAAATGAGAGAAAATGGGCTCGACTTGAAGTCACACTTACCTGGCCCTGAGCTTCGCGTCAAACTCATCCTGGTTGAGCGAAGTGTACATGTACTCCGAGACCCGAATGGAATCGACGTCCGTCCTTCCCTCCTGCTTCGCAATAGCACGATCGACGGCTAACTGAATCGGCACCAAGACCCTACTCTCGTCAGCGTCAGCTCCCTTCCTCCCTCTCTCCCGCAGATGGGAACGGAGCCACGCTCACTCTTGAACAGCACTGTCGTGATCATCCACATTGACTCTCCCGTCGTTGAAGGAGATGTCGCCTCTAACGGTATACTTCCAGTTGCCGCCTTCGCCGGTATTGGGGCTGCTCTCGAACACGATGGCGGCAAAACAGCGCGACACACCCCGCAAGCTCTGTTTGCACTCGGTCCTGAGTGCAATCTCGTTCTCGATCACCATCACCGTCCCCCTGGACTTCAGCTCCTCCTCCATTGTGGCGATGATAGTGTCCACCTCTCCCCCGAGCGCATTGTTCACGAACAGTAGCTTCGTATTCGGCTTAGCGGCGAGCGCATCGCCCAGATCCCTGACGGCGGCCGGACTTCCGATGCCATATGTCGACGGCGGAACCAGGAGGTTCCGTGAGAACGAGAGGAAGGCGACAAAGATAACGGGCAGGACGAAAGCGCGGTATAGGGTTGACACGAAGTGCCGGCGGAGGTTGATGATTAGGTTTTTCCGCACCAGCGCCCATGACTGCCGGAGGGAATCAAAGGCGACCATCGCAGTGAGGCGTTGTACTATAGTTTTCTGCTATGTGTTGCGGTGGTGATGATGATGTCGGTGTGCGCTCGCCAAGAACCGGCGACGACGGGGCAGCGGTGGGACGGCCGCACTGATATACGGAACGTACGGGGGCTGTCGCAGTAGCAGCCCCGGTCGGAGCACCGTGTCGACTCGACAAGGCTCAAAGGATCGGGGGCGCAGCGAGAAAAGGTCGGGATGACCTCCGAATACGACGTTGTTTTGTGTCGTGTTGTGTCGGGGAGCACCTCCGTAACGATCGTCGTTGGTCGGCCGGAAGGTAGAGGGGGTACTCGAGAGCGCTGAGTGGCCGACGGCGAGATGAGAATTGCGGAACTGGATGTGATTGAGCAAGCGGGATTGTAGAAGAGGCAGAATACCTACCAGCGAACAGACTATTCTCTGCCTCAAGGCGTACCGCCTGATTTCCAGGCGCGGGTGGTGATCCGCGAGTCGCGCAGCAGTGTACCGGTCTGTGGGTATAGGTACTTGAAGGGCGAAGGGCCAGGTGGTGGGGGGATGAGACAGGCAGACAGACGATTATGATGGGGAGAAAAGAAAGGAACGATCGACAGGCGGGCAGGCAGGCATCCACAATCGATATGATGGCAATTCCACAGCCATGGCGCGGTATTTCAACGACCGCTGTTGCAAGACCTCGTTCTCGGTAACGTTTAGAGTAGGGAAGTTAGGTCGACAGGGGACGTTGCTTCGTCCAGCGCGGCGTCCACGGAACAACATCCTGCACGTTTGGCTCGCGTTTATCTTCGAGCCACTTACTTGAATCAGTAAGTACAGTACTTGATTGGATTCTAGGCAGAGGGAAGTCGTGATTAGTAATCACAGTCGTGGCCACTGGTAGATCCCAGCAGGCCGCACACCGTTCTCATTGGCGCGCAATTCTCCCCGGCTGAAACCATCGCCCAAGCCGAGACATCGCCGCAGACCGCGAACCGAGCATGCTCGAGATCTTCGCAGAGCGCCAGAGTCGTCCCCGCCTTCATTCGACCTTTTCTCCATCGTCAAGCAGCAGAACCCATCGGTTATCCGCAAGAGTATAGAGTACTCTACGGTTGCAGTAGAGTAGAGTGGGGTGCACTCTAGAGCACATATCGATCCAACTAACTACTCCACTACCCCAACAACTGGTGATTGCTGCGCCCCAGTGCCGCCCCTCCCATCCCTTAAGCGAATACGAGATATGATGAGCGAACGCCCAGCCGGCCCGAATTCACCCCGAGTCCCTCCAAGCCGCGCAATCTGTGCAATCACGAAACTGTGCGGAGCAAGGGCCGCCCTCAAGACTGTAGACGGGCGAACGTCCTTCCGAGCGCGGGGGGCGGCGAGGCGGAGGGGAGAGGAAGGAATGCCTTCAGATGCGAGATACGAGTTACGAGTTGCGAGATACGAGTTACGAGTTACGAGATACGAGGCGACGCACTCTACACATAACTGATCACAGCAGCTGGCCATTGCGACCGCGAAGGTACGTACCTCTATATGTACCGGTATGCATGTACGCCCGAAAGAAAAATCAGCACGTGAACCGAGATAAGCATAACCCATCAGGCGAGAAATATTCACGGTCGGAGTACCGATGCACGGGACAAGTACCTATAGTACCGTACCTGTCTCCTTGGCAAGATATCTGCAGACAGCAGCGCCAACTTTTTTCGCCATGGGCTATCCCGGCAACGCAAGGCACACCATTGGCTCAGCCTCGTGTGGCATGGCTTGTCACTCGCTCGCCACTACCTGCTGACTTGTTCGTTGGCTTGGAGTCGACGATGACAGATTGGACCATTGAACGGAAATAGCCAGCAGAAGCAATTACTGCGGGCAGTTGTTTGGAAGGGAGACGGGGAGGGGATGGCAGGCGAAGCCACGTCGGGCCGCCTGACGAGAGTCGGGTTGGACACTACCTATGATTAAACCGAAGAAAAAGTAATGGCTGATTAGTATTGGTCTTACCCACCGAGGACAGCCTCGAGAATCGTCTTCTTGCTATGTAGCCAACGGTATCGAAGTTTCTGTCCATAAGGCGTACTCGGACGAGAGCACGTGGTAAGGCAGACTCCAGAGTCAGGGCAACAGTGCCGGACTGCCTAGATCTGCTCCCATTTCCCCTGCCCATTTTCTAAGCTTCAGGTGCTCCAATTTCCTTGCTCACTTCCCACTAAGATCTAATGGCTCCCATAGGCTTCCTGTTGCTCTTCCACGTCTTCGTCTTCGGCGTCGCCACGTATAGAAGTAGTTATATCACCCATGCCGACGGCGAGAAGCAACGCTTCAAGCGGATGCTCGACTTCCCATGACCGTTGAACTTCCACCTCTTCAACCTCGCCACGTATGTACCTAAGGTAGTTATACCACCCGGGGTGGTATAACAGTTCAAACTGGGAACAAACCGGGGGTGTTCCCGAACCAACCAACTGTTGAGGGGTAGTGAACTGAACCAACTGCCAAACTGAACCAACTACCAGGTTTTGAACTGGGAAAATTGCTTGTCCCATCAGTTCAGTGAGACTTAAAGTTTGGGCTAAACCCGTCGCCACCACCAACCCACCGAGTAACTACCTCAAATCCACCACCCAGTCGCTACTATCAACCCGGCGCCCAGTAGGACGCCGCCGGTTGACGATCTCCAGGACTATTTTTCATTGCCTGTTGAGAGGAATGTTCGAAACAGTCCTGCCGCGAGCGAATGGTGGCGGGAACCGCGGCAGCAACGTCGTTTTCCTAACACCAGTCGAATGGCCATTGGCATTCTGGTTATTCCAGCCATGTTGGCTGATGTTAAACGGGTGTCCTCCGAGTGCAAGATGATTCTGACTGTTCATCGGCAATCCCTAGGTACCGAGAGTGTTGAAGCTCTGGAGAGTGTCAAGAGGTTCAATCGCCATGCCCACATGGGTAGGTAGCACCAGAGTACTATTTCAGAAATAGTACTGTACATCTTCTATCGCTTTTTCCGTGACCATGGGAACCTATCTCGCCCACTTCACTGCCGTAGCTGAACTGGCAGTTCATCCACTGAACTGACAGTTCTGCCAGTTTTCCCAGGAACAACTACCAGACTTACCTAAACCACCTGGGAACTGACAGGTTCTGTTCCCAACCGAACCGGGAACAAAATCAACCAGAACTAAACTGTTTAAACCATTGTTCCCATTTCAACCGACGAACTGTCGGAGGGTCTGTCCACCCAACGTCGACAGCGAGACGCACCGCCTCAAGCGCAAGCTCGACCTCCGTGGTCCATAGCGCAGCTCCGGGCTCCCCAGTCAAAGCCAATATCTCAATGCCACACGTATGTAAGGAGTCCTCATCCGATCAACCGCGTGGAGCCAATCCCGCACGTCGACCGCATGCATGCACTTCGGTTGCGCCGATTGCGGGCTGCTTGGCTTCAAGTTCCTCTGCGCTGCGCACCGCACACGTCGTACAACCCAGCCAGCCACGAATCTGTATTCTAGCCAAGATGCCGTGACCTGTCGTGTCATGTGTTTCCAAAGCGCAGGCGGGCCCTCTGGTCGTCCCGCTGCGAGGCGAAAATAGCAAATGCACCGCTGGTAGAATGTGATCGATGGTTTCGTTCTCTTTTTTTCACCATGGTCTTGCGTGAGCTGGTATGCCGATGTTGGCTATAGCGGGATACTTGGTACTTGGTATTTGCAGAATATTCCGTCGCCTTGACTCGAGTCCAACCGGAATTCTCCGTAATATTTTGCTGGTGCCACCTTGTCGTGCCTGCATGTTATCTGTGTGATCATACTCGCAGTACCAGTTTATGCCTGCAGCTGGTGTGGATGGACCTCCGTCAATCCATCCTTTCCAGGCCCGCAGGTCGGATATCGAGTGATGGTTGTATGATCCATCCCTCACACACCGACGAGGATGAGATGCGATCGTTGAGTGTGCCTTGAGACCATTCTATAGGTATCGAAGGGATGTGCTGGATACCGATGTATACCGTACATGCTGTTGATGGACACGGGACAGTGGAAACACCACGACTTACCAAGTTACTACCAGCGTATGATACATACTGGGAATGTAAGCTCTATTCCAGAATCCAGAAGAGCCAAACACCTCATATCTTGAATCCAACCCCTTCCGCAACTAAGGCTCTACTATATGGCACCACTGAGCGCTATGATATCTACCTAGATGTTATCAAAGACAGCGACCTATCAGCCGCGGCCGAGAAGGTCGTTCCAGTTTTATTGTTGTGTGTATGTACATAGAAATACAAACGATCCTCCCACTAGTTGAATGGTTGCGAAGCGGTGGAATACCTATTTGTTCTTATGTAGGTACTTCTATGTACCTCCGCAGTCACATTCGCCGATTCCGCCTAACAATCAGCCTCGCCTATAGTAGAATCTGCATCGATGCATCTCGATGAAGAGTTCATCGAGCACCGTTGCATTCTATCGCATAGCCCAGGCAGAGTTTTAGGCGCATGTCTGCTATGCTATGAGTCGATGGCTCCATAAACCATACTGCTTCGGCGTTTGTTAATATTATGCGTCTTATTGCCTGTTCCGGTGTCACTACTACTTTCCACTGTCTGTTAGCATACTGCCCTCATTTCATTTGCGACTGCTTAGCATTACCCATGGCTTCTCTACAGAGTCGGCCTTCAAGCCTTCAAGCCCCCAGCCTAGTCCGGCGATGGCTATCGCCGCATCTTCTGTCTAAGGAAGGCCCGGCTTCGCCGGCCTCATCTTGTTGTCTACACGAGCTCGATTCCCTTATAAGCAGTCTTCTTTCTCTTCTTCCTTGTATCAATACATCAATCAAGTCAAGTTCTTCACTCAATTCCAACAGCGTTACGCCTGGGGTATCCGAACCATCGTTGGTGTCTTGAGAGGAACTCGTCCGAAATGCGATCTCCATACCGCGTCATCATTGCGCATTCGACTGCCAAAAATGCGACGACATGCGTGGTCGCAAAGCTATCGTTCCAGTATCAAGCACTTGCCCGTACATAGCTGTTTCCGTCAAACAAAAAAGACATTCGGTCCACAGTGCTCTGTGCGAGAAAATAGAACGTCAACTTCGCCAGTTTCTTAAGTCCATGATATCTCAAGCAGTGTTCTCTATCGTCCGGTCCGTCCGTCCTGAGCCATGGACCAAGACGGACGGCGTGCCTTCCGTCCATCCGAGCCTCGGGCATGACGGCGAAGTTTATTTCAGCGGACGGACCAGACGGACGGCCGTCGACGGCCGTCCTGGCCGTCCGACGCCAAGCCTTGACTAAAAACTTGATTTCGGGCGTGGACCTTGGGTATGTACGAGTAAAAATACTGCTACTTCTCACAGCAACGGTGTTGACGGTCAGGATAGTTGTGGAGCTGTGATGGTGTTTGTGGAGCGGCAAATATTGAACAGACGCGGTGGTGTGTTAGACATCAGTGCTAAAATCTTGTCAACCCGCGGAAAAATAATCAGGTGACTTGGACGGCCGTCCTCCACCGTCGGACGAGGACCGACCCGTCCGTCCCAGGCTCAGACCTGACGGAGAGATTTTGCAACATTCCGTCTCGGGCTCGGACCGTCCGGCGTTTTGGCCGTCCGTCCCGCCCCGACGGCCGTCCAGACCGGACGATAGAGAACACTTATCTCAAGGCATGATCGAGACGAATATGTAGCAGGGCACGCTTGGATCTCCACTAGTTAGTGTGAACTGAGAAACTATATACCGGTACATAGGTATCCGCAGGCTCGAATCCATGAGTGACACATTTTCGAAATCTACACGAAAAAGGCGTGGTATATATGTTAAAGCTTCATATCTAGACGAAGATCAGTTCTAAACTTAAGAGTAGGGAAGAGGCCATACCTACCGTGGTGAGGATTGGCAGGGGCCAAGCGCCCCCACTCGGAAATCCAGCCAAACGAAGTTTCGTACGAAGTCCCGCCGTCACATACTTACTAGTCGAAATAGCAACCGCCAAGTAGAAACCGGTCGTGATATTTGCGCAACCGGCACTCGTAGCCATCCGGTATCCGGCTCGGCACACCACCTACTAGTACTACCATCATATAACCACATGTCCCCGGATCTAGGTGGCATCCGGGCATTTACCCCACGGGACTGGACTGGACTGGACGGACTGCACCCCGGAAAAACCCTGCTCAGCCTCCGGCCCTCCGGGACTGCCCCACCATTCTGTCACCTAGTGGGCCTTATTGGATTCCAGTTCGAGCTCCGGGGTCCGGACGCCGTATTCTCAGCACTGCTTCCATCATATCTTTCTTGAGGCGGTTCAACCCCCCCGTAATTGTCCAGGCCTTCTCGCCAGCCGGATTCGGACACCATCAAACAGTACGGCGCTGAGCTTTATAGAGCGTGCTACTCCAGAGTCCAGTGGCAGAATACCGTACCTAGGTAGGTATTGCCCTCCCCGAAATGTGGTTTGAAACCCGAGGGCAACGGAGCTGTTGATTTTTTCCTCCCGGGCTGTACGGTAGTTAGCGGTCGAACTTACCCGCGCCGAGAGAACTACATACTCTATTATAGACTTCCATGAAGAAAACTCTTCCGCTGGATGCCGGACAGTGGCTGTCAGCAAAGCCGAAACTCCGGGCTCGGTAGAGCACATACCTCATGGTATCCGTTCTCCACTGAAATCCGCGTCGTCCTTGTTTCGCTGAGCCCGCTCAATTTCGTCTCGTCTCCGGGCATTCCCAAAAACTGTCTGGGCGCCCTGTTCTCGCGCCTGCGATGGAGTGGTGACTTGTGAGGGAACACAAATCGGTTTCAAAGGTTGTATGCAGGTACAAATCCCGATTCTCCGGGTGGGGGCCAAGATTGACGGAGTTTCCACCTGGAACCGGGTACCTCCGAGCGCCGATAAAGGTACCATAAAAGTACGGTATCAACGCCGGGTCGCTGTTTATCCACGTCCTTAATTGTGGATGTTTAAATAACGGGATTCCATATGGTGGCATGAATAGAGTGGATAATAAGCATAAAATGCCCACTTGCGATTGTCTTGGCAGCGTCTTGGCATTGATGTCACCACTCCGACAAACCCACCCATGTTGCATCGCGTCTTCCCGACACCAGTGACAATTCCCCATCCCCAGCCTTGAGTCCCAAAAATGTCCGAACCAGCAACCCCATCCGACCTCGCGGTCCCGGTCACGGTTACAGGCACGAAAGCCATACGCGCTCTGCCGGCGACCACAGTGTGTGCGCTCGGCTCGGGGCAAGCACTGCCGGACCCGGTAGCGCTGATCAAGGAGCTGATTGAGAACTCGCTGGACGCAAATGCGACGCAGGTAACGATCGAAGTCTCGCCAAATTTGCTCGACGTGGTCGTTGTCAGGGATAATGGCCTTGGAATCGCGCCGCAGGATCGCCAAGTCGTGTGTCTGCGCCACTTTACGAGCAAGATCACTACGGTCGAGGACATTGCGACTGTTGCTACGCTGGGGTTCCGTGGCGAAGCGCTGGCGAGTGCCGCCGAGTTGTCGATGGCCATGTCGTTCACGACGAGAGTTGAGGGGGAAAAGGTGGCCGAGATCTACGAGGTTCGTAGAGGCGGGGCTGTCAAGGTTCGAAACATCAGTGCGCCGATCGGAACGACGGTACGCGTCGAAGGCTTCCTGAAACCGTTGCCGGTGAGAAGGGAGAATATGGCGCAGAAGAAACAGGCACTGCAAAAGAAATTGAAGGACCTCGTGGCGAGGTACTACCTCTCGCGGCCCCTCTGCCGCTTCTCGCTGAAGATACTGGCCAAAAGCGATACGAAGAACCATATCGTGTATGTCCCTACTAAGTCTGTACATGAGGCTGTGCGACAAGTGGGGGGGAAAGACCTGGCGGCAGCGTGCGAATGGCTGGTCAAGGTGAGAAACGGCATCGCGGTGGAAGCGCTCCTTCCAAAGACTGGTTGCGATTTCGCTGTTCTCGAGAAGGCAGGACAGTACATCTATGTCGACTCCCGACCCGTCTCTAACGTGCGAGGTGTATTTTCGCAAATAATCAAGCTCTACAGATCCCGAATCAAAGCTATATCACCTCCAGACAACGCGCCCACTAGTCCCTTCCTCTATCTGAACATTCGATGTCCGAAGGGGATATACGATGCGAATGTCGAGCCCGCGAAAGATGACATCCTTTTTGATGCATCAAAGTATCCCGATGTTGAAGCCGCACTGGAAGAGCTGTTGACAGAGATATACGGAGAACCGCCACCAGGCGAAGAACCTGCGAAGACGGCGGAGACGCAGACGAGGAAGAAACAAGGAACGGCTAACAAGGACTTTGGAGTCTTGCTTGCCCGCAGGAAAGATGTCGTCGGTGACATTGAGAAGGATCTTTCCACGCAGCCCACCCCATCGCGAGAGAAACTGGACGATATCGCGAGAGCTCCACCACCGCCTCCTCCTCGTCCTCCCCTTCCCCGTCCTCCTTCTCCTCCTCCTCCTCCATTGGAGGAGGAACCAGATGATCTCGAAGTTCCAGGTAAGAAACACACGCCGCCTCTCAGCTGGATCTCGACTGACAATTGCGTGCAGAAGAGTGGCGAGCAACCGGTGTTTTGACCACACCCATGCGCACGCCAGGAGGCAAACGGCCTCAACCCCGCGGTTTCGGGTCGTCTCCGCCATTCCCAAATCCAACATTTCCACCTATGAGAAGTGGCCGGCGTCACGAAGAACCGAAACGATTAGAGGATCCAGAGAATGCAGGTGCTTTGGACCGCTTCATCGTGAGAATGCCGAGATCGTCCGCGCAAAGGCCGATACCGCGAGCCGGATTCGGTAGTGAACCCGACGAAGAGGTGGAGCCTACCCCGACGAGGTGTGCTGTTCAGGCACCGGCGAGACCCCAGGGTGACCGCCCAGCATTCAATCCTCCGAACCGCATTGCCCGGATGCCCTCCGAGCTCGGAGTCGGAGAGGACGAAGCCGATGAAGTGGATCTGTATGCCCCAGTGAGACGCCGTGCCCTCCACGCCTCTTTTGCGCCCACCGCCACTGTTACACCCGCCGGCTCTTTTTTGCCCGCCGGCTCTTTAATGCCCGCCGGCTCTTTTACGCCCACCGCCTCTTCTACGCCCACTGCCCCTTTTACGTTCACTCCGCCGCCACCGTACTCACCACCTTCTCCGTCGGCCCCACCACCATTGCGAGAGAAAAGAAAATCCCCCCCAGAAGCGACTGCACCAGCACCAGAGCCAACCCGGCGGCGCACCCGTCGCAGCAATAAAACGGATACGAATCCTCTCTTCCCCTACGACGAGAACGAGCAAACCCACAAGCTGATCAAACGTCTCCCCGCCATGACGCCCGGTTATATCAGCACCCTGTCAGCTCGCCGTGTACGCACACCGGCACCCGACACCATGGATAAGTTCGCGGAAACGGTCGTCCAGTGGCTACAGCGCCTCACAGGTGTGCGTGGGGACGACGGGCAGCATCGCGCTTACAGTTATCGGCAGACGACGGGCGAGGTCAGCGTTTTGACCTTCGAGTGACTGCTGGTGGACTTGTTTCTGCTGGTACTGCGATTCGAATGTTTATGTGCGAGGGGGAAATGGGGGTAGAGGTGAAGAAGAAGGGGGTGAAAGAAGATTTTAGAAGTGGAGGGACAGATGGAAGGGCGAAAAGGAAGAAGATGGGGGGTTAACAATTGTATCTCGATGCTCATGCGATCACTTACCTTCAGTCTCTTGGACTGTTGTTGGCGAGTCAGCCTAGGTATCTATCATAGCTTCTAATCACCTTACCATACTTGCGAGCCTTTTCTGAAGAATACTGAACTGTATATATGTAAGTACATAGTTATAGATTTGGGGGGTGCGTTGCTTTCGCGCGTGGGGATGATTCCAGCATGGTTACAGACAAGAAACAACTTTGCCAGACAGCAATAGTCTACAGTAGAGGCCTAATAGCAATCGAGTGACACCGCATCATTATACATGGCACGGCCCACTCCCTACACGGCGTGCAGCATGAATGCAAACACAAGCCCCAACTATGTATGATACAATAGGTATATACTCTACTGTAGGTACACCAGGAGGCTGAAGCAGCGGTCGACACCCCATTCACCACACACGCCCAACCGCCAGGCAAATCACGGGTTCTGGCCGAGTGATGTCGCTCCTTCCCACCACTGCACTACACTTTCCCATCGCTGCACTGCGCTGGCGACCCGCCACTTCCCCAAACTTCACCTCGCGTAAGAGTACGGTAGATTATCGACGCGCGTATCGGCTGAGCTCTTCCAAGCTGCCACCTACTACTTGAGGTAACTACTACTTGAGGTAGGCAACTACATACTAACTGGCCAACCACTTGGGCTTGGGGGGGCTGGGATTCTCCATCGTTTTGCACTTCTCACCCAGTTAGGAAGTCCGGCCTCTCACCTTGTCGCCGTCTTACGCGCTTCGTACCCCTATTCCCGTCATACCAGGTAACCAGGTTGCCCCTTTTCACCATCAAATTGCACAATGGTCAAAATATTCACAGTATGTAGAAAAATTTCACCCAGGAAAAACAGCGACGAATGTGAAGTTGCTCAACGTATTAAATTCCACATCTATAACCAAAAGTAAACGCGCTCCCTGGTATCACATTTCATGTACAAACACACATCCACATCTCCTCCCTCCCCACTCCATCCACAAACTACACTACATTATTACAACCATTTACAAGACGGAAGCACAACCGAAGTTCTGCTCAATACCAGCGGCCTTCCACAGGTCATTGCGGTAAGTAAAGTAGGCAATGTGACCGGGCGCGTTCTCCTCGTACGATTCAACAGCGATCTTCTGGTTCTCGGGCGAGGCGACAGCCTTGTTATTGGATGCACCAGCGGAAGGCCATCCGGCCTCGAGGACGTAACCCTCCTTTCCGCCGCAAACCTTCTCGGCGGCGGCGAGCTGAGTCTTGAGGAAGGCACCGGCTTCGGAGGCAGTGCGCTGACCATCGAAGTAGGGCTGGATGTTGACACCGACGAAGTCACAGGCGTCGCACAGAGCGGGGTTGGCCTCGAGGATGCCGACGGTCTCGGCGGTTGAGATGGGTCCGGTGTAGCCAGGGCCGGCCTTGAGGGTCTCGCGGACGGTGGTCATGTAGTCAACGAGTCCTCCGGCAGTTATGTAGCCGTTGAAGATGGCCTCATTACCGACGATGACGGCCTTGACCATGTCCCATCCGTTCCAGGCGGTGAGGTCCTCGAGGTCCTGGGCACAGGTGCTGATCCCTCCAGCCTTGATGAACAAGCCAACGACCATACCAACACCGTTGGCGCGGCAAGCGTCACCAACGTTCTTAAGACCGTCGCACTCGGTGGAGTAGATACGGACATTGGAGAAACCCTTGCTAGCGATGTCAGCGATGTCGGTAGCGACATCGGCAGCCTTCTTGCAAGTGCCATCATCGGCGTACGGGGAGTAAGTGACGGCCCAGTACTTGCCGCTGCCACCGGAAATCTCGGGGGTCGCGGTGCTCTTGGGGACAGCGGAAGAGGTGGTCGGCTTGTAGCTGGTGGTCGAGAACTTGGAGGTGGACACGTGCTCCTCCTCCTCACCGGTGGTCTCCTCGTAGGTAGGGGTCTTGGTGGCAACGGGGGTAGCCTTGGGGGTGTAGACGGGAGTCTCCTTGGTGACAACGGGAGTGGCCTTGGAGGTGTAGACGGGGATCTCAGACTCCTCGACGGGGTAATCCGGGGTCTCGGCAGGAGTGGGGACCGCAGTGTACTCGGGAGTCTCTGAGGTCTCGGTGGGGTGGATGGTCGAGTAAGGGCAAGTCACGACGACGTTGGTCTTGGTAATGGTCGTGGTGATCTCGGGCTGGACGTAAGTACCAGGAAGGTACTCAGTGGGAACACCGTACTCGACGGTGGTGGTCTCGGTGGGTACGGTAGTGATGGCACCGATGGTGTAGGTACCGGCGGTAGGGCACTCGTACACGGTCTCGTAGATCTTGGAGACGGTGATACCGTCAGTCGTCTCGACGGCGACGTAGGGGCAGGTCACAACGGTCGAGGTCTCGACGATGGTGGTGACACCTCCGTAGGTCTCGGTCTTTCCGGGGACCAGGACGGTCGTCTCGGGGTAGACACCAGTCTCGGTGGCGGTGACGACAACGGTCTTGGCGGGGATCGTGTAGGTACCGGGCTGGGTGTAGGTGACGACCTCAGGGGTGGGGACGGGCTCGTACTCAGTGGCCGTCACATAGTCGTAAGCGGTCGAGGTCTGGACGTTGGTCAAGTATTTGGTGGTGACGGCCTCGGTGGGGGTGTCTGTGGGAGCGGGAGAGTCGGTCGAGTAGACGGGGGTGTCAACGGGACCGGCAGGAGTCTCACCAGCGGGGCAGTCGACACCGGTTCCGGCTCCACAGCTAGGAGTGCCCTCGGCGGGGTAGACAGGAGCCGGGGAGCCAGTCGAGTACACGGGTGTGTCGACAGGACCGGCGGGTGTCTCACCAGCGGGGCAGTCGACACCGGTTCCGGCTCCGCAACCAGCAGTGCCCTCAGAGGGGTAGACAGGAGCCGGAGATCCGGTCGAGTAGACCGGGGTGTCCACGGGACCAGCAGGTGACTCACCAGCAGGGCAGTCGACACCGGTTCCGGCTCCACAGCTAGGAGTGCCCTCGGCGGGGGTTCCGTACGCGGGGGTCTCCTCAGCAGGCGAGTCGGTTCCGTAGGTACCAGTCGCCTTGGGGGTGTCGGTCTCGTAGACGGGCACGACAGTAACGGTCCCGGTGGGGTAGACTGGGTTTGCGCGTTAGACTTGACACCACTAACCAACTGACAACGGGAGAAAACATACTGGTGACAGGGACCACGTAGGAGGTCACGTAGGTGGAGCATTTGCAGTCGTCGGCCTTCTGTTCGAACCTTTTGAAGATGTCGTTGTGGTTGTGACGACGGTGGTTGTGGCTGGCAGCCGACGCGCCACAGATGGCGGTCGCAGCGAGGGCGATGAGAGAGTACTTCATGATTTAATATCTGCAGCACAGACCACGATCCATTAGCCGTCATCCGTCAATCCAAAACACGACAAGATCGCCAATATCGCCAATCTGTCGCCCTCTCAATCGCACTTGGCAGCAACATACCCAAAAGCAGAGAATTCGTTTCGGAACTAGGTATTATGTATCGCGTCGGAATGAAAGAATGCCGCTGAACGAGTGAAGCGGTGGTCAATTAGGTTGCTTAAAGATACGAGTTGGAAATCGTATTTTTTGCGTGGGGGAGGAAGAGAAGGACAGGAGGAAGGAAGAGAGAACGGGGAAAGCTGGCGATTAATAAGGGCCGGCGGCGGGCGGCAGGAACAGTATCTGAAAAGGGGGTACATGGGTCCGGGGGGGAAGTTGCGCCAATTCACCGGGGCCACCACCAGCACCAGCACCACCTCCACCTCACCACCTCCACCTCCACCAGAATTCGGCAGTGAGCAGGGCGGGCACAGCAGCGGCAACAGAGCGCAACACCAGCGGTGGGTCCAGGCAAAGCAAATGAGCTGCCACAGCTAGGCTCGATCGGACCCGCAATCTCGTCCAAAAAAAGGAAGCTCTCCAAGGGCATCATGGGCCGGATCATCCTCGAACAAGGCTAGCCAGTGGGCAGCGCACAAGTCTGGGACGGCGGCGGCGGTGTTTTTGGAACAGGAATCCCAAAGTCCACTTGTCTGGGTGATTTCCGAGGATTGTGAATGTGGGGAACCGCTATTTACGAAGCTGCCCTGCCATTATTGAAGATATCCGGGCCCTCCGGCGACGATGCCACCGCTGTCCGCCTCCTGAGTCTCGAGAGTCTCGAGAGTCTTGTGGAGTGTGGAGTATCAAGAGCCGACTGACCGCCTGCCTGCTTCTGCTTCTGCTGACCGCACAGCGGCACATTACGGATCACGAAGGACGAAGGGCGGGTCTTGGTGGTGACTTGGCCTTTGCGCTATCTTTGCGCATCTTGTGCATAATCATCATGATCATCATCTTTTCACCATCACCCAGTAGGTGTCGAACTTTTGCTCGGAGGTTGGCAAGGCAAGGTGAACAAACAAATATCCAGGTAAGCAAGGAATTCCAGTCGAAGCCTGCGGAATCTCGCGGACCAGGGGTAATTCCTCTGGCACAGGGCCCCCAGAGCTGCAGCTCATCAGAGACAGCCAACCAAACCTCAGCGCGTCCTGCAAGGTACGAGTAACCACTAACAAACCACACTAGGAATATCTACCAGTCCCCCCAGTGCAAACGCTCCAATAGGAAGGATGTTCCATCTCCATCTCCAATTCGGATCGAGCCTCCCCCTGCGTTGGCGAAGCCTCCCTCCCTCCCTCCCCCTCTGATAATTTCGCGCATGGCAGGTGCCTGGCAGGGCACAAAGAAACCGGTTCCTCAACGGCCGGTGAGGGGAGGTGAGATCCGGCTCAAAGAAACTTCCCTATCCAGTCCGCCCAGCATGTCCATTGCTTTCTCTGTTGCGAGGAAAAGATTCTTCGCTGAAGTCCGACAGAGGCGTTGTCAGTTTGTTGTTGTTCTCGCGCGGGAAGGCGAAGGAACGAAGGAAGGAAGCATTTCGAGGCCAAGGCAACATGCTATGCTGGCTGCCGCTATCCCGCCAGCATCGTTAAATTGCGCAGGATACAGCACGGGTACTCTACTATACAAAGTACACAGCTACGATTTCATGGAGCGAGGAGCGAGAAGCTTGAGGGCCATCACCGTGCGTCACCTGGGATCGTTAGGAACGGCACGGAGAAGCCGTGGCTGGATCCTTTCAACTTTGTCGTCTGAATGGGTGGATGACCGTGGTAGTTATGTAACACCATGGAGTGCACACATATCTACAACCGAGTGCAGATGTATTCGCGCCGTTGGTATGAGATGCGCGCCGTTGTTGGTACATACATCTCCGGAACCGCCTACTCGAGTTCATGATGGTATCCAACGCAACGGTGTACAAAGCGCTGGCAAAGGGTGGGTTGCGAACTCAATCGCTGCGTGGATGACAAGCTACTTACCGAAGAAGTTCAGATGGAGACAACATCTCCGAGCGTGGAGTCTAGTGTACCAAACCACTCGATAAGAGCAACTCGTCAGGGGCATCTCACCAAAGTTCCCCCCTTCACCAGTCGGTGAGTCCCCCTCCCTCTCCCTCCCTCCTCCCACCTCCAGCGGTCCTTTCCTGTCCTCTTCCTTCAAGCTTCACCTGCAGTCAGAGCAGATCCCCAAAACCGTATCGCTTCGATATGATATGGATACAGATAACCCGTGTCGATTCCAGCCCGCCCCAAATCTCGTCGCTAAAAAACCAAATCTCGTCGATATGTAAAAAAGAAAAAAAGGAACATGAAACACGCATGAACCCTTTTCCTCAGCTTTTGCTTTGCTTTTGCTTTTGCAAACTTGCAGTCAGCGATCGAGCAGAGGAGACAAATCTCGACAAATCTCGTTCCCTCGCTCGCTCGCTTGTCCGGTCGTGGCGCCTGCACTGTCAGACGTCTCCTCCTCGTCCCTCCCTCGCCCCCCCTCCGGGCCCCCACCGTGATCGCAGCGGAGAAAACCCAACTGGACAGCGGAGAAAAGAGGTTTACCGACCGATTATGTACAGCCAGCCACGTCACCTTCGAACATATGTAAACATCCTGAGCAACCGATGCAAGAAAAGGGGAAGGAAAACGGAGTGTTGTGTTGTGTTGTGTTGTGTACGCGGCCCTGTAGATACATGGAGCAGGTACACGGGTTCAGGATCGAGCGGCAACGGCCCCGCGCCCCACCCCGGTCTCGACTCTCGACTCTCGGCACCGGAAGTTGGAAGCGCATGGTGGCGACAGCATGGTGAAGAAAATAGTTTATCCTCAATCCACAACCCACGGTGTGTATATACCTACATAGATTATTCCACAGTGGCTGTGGCTATGGCATCTTTCGCTTCTTGGTCCCCATTGTTGTGAACCATCAAATTCCAACGACAGATCTGATCGCGACTCTGTGCGTGGTCTGTGTATGCGTGGGGGCGACAGTTACTTTACCGGTGTAAACTATATATGTACCGTCGCGAGTCGCGACTGACGTGCGCGAGTAGAATATCTGCACAAAGATCTCGCCTTGACGTTCATCTCGAACTGGCCCGATGGTACCTGCTTCAGGAGGCCTGTAGCTAGCCATGCCAGAGTACCCACCCTCTGGTCAAACGCCATCACGCAAGACCACCCCATATCACTCGTCGCCAGCAAAAACTTCCTGCCATGCCGAGAAGATTTTCACGCCCAGAGACGCCGGTGTTTCGGAGGGAAAGATCTCGACCTACATATCTACCCGCCATGCCGGAACTAGAGTTTGCACATCCGATTCGCGGCTGGCGAGGCAGAGCAGCGTGAAGAGTAAGAAGAGTGTAGACGGTGTGATCGTATGTAGTGATGTGCATAGTAGAGTAGCGGTGAGGCTATTGTTCGGTGTCACTCATGAAGGTTGTTACCTATACCTACTACCACTAGTATACATGAGCCGCGAAACATGGAGAGGACTCAGAGGAGCAGGCTGTGGATCCGACATGGCAGATGGCTGGTCGCTTTGACTAAGGCTTTAGACACCTACATCTATATGTAGTACTGCGCTTGATACACACGCCGACCGCCCTCCCCATGTGCAGTTGTTCGTACTGCTCGTCTGCATGACGAATTATCCATCCAGCATATCAAGACCACAGTACATTGCCGGTCCCATGGCGGAAACCAGTACCCACAGCTGCGCCCGTCCACCTCCCCGAATCAATACAATCACTTAGGCTCCGTTCATCTAGCCATTATCTCATTATCTGGATATGCCAAGCACGTAGCGCGATGGGGTGAGGGGGGCACCCACCACTTTATGATTTTCGAATTCATGTTTCTAGCACGGAAAAAACCCCGCGTGGTCTAGTGGTTTAGGCCATGCAATCGGCGAGGGAAGTTGAGGGAAAGTTCTGGGTTCAACCTAGGTGACAGACCTTTTTATTCAGCTCTTGGGGTTTCCAGGCCACCCGCCGGGGATGGTGATGGTTTTTGTTTTTGACGTGACGGGTGAAGCACGATATATCACTCGGTGGTGTCATGTGACACCCGCACAGGAGGAGGAAGTGAAGGAGGATTCAGGCTGCCAGCGGGAGGAAACGAATTGGAGAGAGAAATGACGTTTACTGCTGATCGTTCACCCAAATAAACATTGCAACTTGTACGCTATGAGGAAAAAAGGCCGACTTACAAGCAGAAGCCTGAGTTCCCAGTGCAAATGAGCCGCACTTTGTGCTGATAGCGAGTTCACAAGCAGACTCAGACACTCCCAGACGTGCTCCGCCGCTCCGTGTTATACCGATACATACATTATAAATATGTCATGCCGAAACAAGTTACAAGTTACAACCGACGAAAAAAGGTAGAACTCCATGATGCCACTCGGACTCAGTATCACTCGTCGCTCGGAGTGCTAGGTACCGGTATCACTCGGGACCCTCATTGGGACATGATATTGCCATGATCTAGATAGGTCGCATGCAATCAATGATTGAACAAAAAAGAACACCCATTGGGTGGCGGAGCGGATGAAGCAGCGAGACAGCTCACGACCAGCGCTGGTATTGGTACAACAAGTCCAAGCAGATGAGGACCCACTACCTGTTCAAAAACTGCAACAGGTAGTGAGCGAGCTCAACAGAGAGTGCTGTGGTCGGAAACGATCAGGAAGGAGACCGGAAAGAAATGGAAAAACAGGAAGAAATGGAGCACAGCAGACCTGTAACCTGTTTGTAGATGAGTGCTGCTCGGACGCAGTGCTAGAGTACTTAAGGACGACTGGAGCATCGGTCCATCTATCTGGGTTTCCAAGCCACCCACCGGGGTGGTGAAGGTTTTTGGTTCAAGCCACGGTTCCGTTTTTTTCTTTTGTTTATTCAGGAAGTGCTTGCGACCTGGATAGATCATGGCAATGCAAGGCCACGTTCCGGCACGGGTTGTCACTTTATTATCACTTTATCACTTTGTCACTCGTCGCGTGAGATCGCGTGTCTGGCTCCTGCTCGTGTCCGGACTGGGATCAGCCGTTCCCAACCAACCAGAGACAACACACACGCATCGTTAAGTCTACCAAGACCTCAAATGGCGTTGATAATCTATGGATTCTGGGAGCTCATATGGTTGACCGGTCACCAGCGGGCTCAATAGACGGAATCCGCGGTGAGCCAGGCCTAGCACTGTAAGACAGCATACCTAGGAGGACAACTTGAAATTTGGAATTTCACATTTTACCAATCTTCAAGGCGTCCCCGCTGTGGGAAGACCAGAGGTTGTCAGACATCGAAGTACGGCGAAGGACAACGATGCTTGCTACAAGATATCACTCGGCAGTATACATCTCGTGACACGCCTTGTTGGCTTTTTCTTTTCTTTTCTGTTTAATCATCATTGATTCGACTTTGGTAGATCATGGCAGATTAAATGACCGTTTCCACCCGGCTGTCACAGACCGCTAGCCGCAAGCTCGATACCGGTTCCCTATTGCTCTGATCCGGCCAGCCCTCCCGGCGAGTCAACCCTCCCTGCTCCCTCCCTGCCCAACTCAACCCGACAGAAACAAAGAAGGAAGCAAAGAGGGAATGGATGAACGATTGAGGGTAATCGTAGGTCCGGTTCTCGCCCGTCCAACCACCTGTGAGCTCAACTAAGGAATCCAGTTCTTCGTCCATGCCACCCGTGTTTTCTATGTCCTCTGCCGGCGAACCGTCTCCTCATTCGTCTTGTATTTTCTCACCCTGGCTCTCACTGTGTGCAAGCCTATAAAGCTGCCTGGGGTTGGTCACCCTGGATCGGCTGGACAGAGAGGTACCGCGAGGGGTAACGAGTGAAAGCTCGATAGGCGGATGTATTTCCTTGCAATCCGTCGCTATCGTGTACCTAGCCACCTCTTTTCCTCAACTTGATTGGTGCGTTCGGTGGTCTAGCTAAGGGGCAGTGTAGGAGAGGAAAGCGTATTTCTTTGATTCCGTCATATCCGCCCAACCCAGGAGGTAGAGCTTGTGTGAAAAAAGTGTACTGCGGTGTGGCTAGGCGGAGGTTTGAGAAGGGGCGCACCTTATATGGAGGCCGCCATCGGGATTAGCCACGGAATTACGAAGAGTGTGTACGTCGACGGAGTCTAAATAAGTGGTTTGAGTGCAATCAAAGAAGAGCCGGAACGAAAAAGACGTCCGAAGACCTAAGCTAGGACAAAACCAATTAAGCTCAATGTTGTGACTAGGGTAACCAGCCCACGGGACGGGGGAAGCGGTCAAAACGAGTACATAAAACTCTTGTAGATTCTGATAACTCCGCTGACCTCCAAGCGTAATATCCATCCGCGGACGATTCTTGCTCTATGGAAACCCGAACCGCTATGCCCAGTACTAACGCGATCGCCGTAGAACCCGACGTCCCCACGATGGCTACCAGTATAAACGCTATGGGTAGATCGATTCACGAGGATCCAGCGGAGCGGTTGGAGTTCCCCAAGCCGCCCGTGTTCCCGGACATCCCTGCGTTCGATGACAACACGCTGCAGCTCGTCGAGATCAGGCGCATCGTCATATCTCTCATGAACGACATGATATCTCAGCTGAGGGCAGTGTGAGTGTCTTCTTTTATGACCTCGTTCCGATCACTCGCCGAACACGAAACTACCATCTGATCCCCTCTAGGGACGCCGAAAACGTCGCCCGTATGTCGAACGATGGGCCGTCCAGAACACCCAGTCCGACATTGACTGCGCCGTGTACTCCCGGTAATCAGAGTGTGCCGAGCCCTCCGAATCCGCGTGGTGCCATCGGTCGTATGAGTGGTGCGCCATCCTGTCCAACGGCCAAGTGGACTGCTGTTGACGGTAGATACCTGTTCTTGTAGCGGTACAGCTAAATTTGCTTCTCGCCAGGTATGGACAATCAACGCGGGGGACCATCAACCGACGCCGCCGCCGTCTCAGGCGTTGCTACACAGCCATTTTTTCGGTATTTTAGGGGCTCGGTCTGCTGCACTTCTCACCTTTCGAACTTGTGCGCCTCCTGTTTGGTCAGGTTTTAGGTATTTTTTGTTGCCAGTATTGTGATTGGGAGGGGGCATGTACTGTATGTATTCTTTTACCGATCTCCTGTCTACGGGCGAAAAGAGAGAAATGGTGCTTTCATATAGACGGGGTTATCGTCGTCGTTTGGGTGTGCTGTACATTGGTGGACGAGACCACAGTCCAGCTGCTTTCGAACCAGGGCGCCAAAATTGAGGCCAAAAACAACAACGAGTTGACGCGGTTGCACTTAGCGGCATGCAGTGGAAGAGGGACCACACAGTCCGTCTGCTTCTTGAACGGGGTGCTAGTATCGAGGTGAAAGACACGCACGAGCATGCGGCGTTGCACGTGGCTGCAAATAAAGGCTATTGGACTGCAGTGCGGCTACTTCTGAACTGGAGTGCCAGCAGCGAGGATTGGTATGCATATAAAACACGGGAGTGCCTCAAAAACAGTTGAAATACTTCCCGCTGCCCCAACATTGTTTTCGGATGCCTTCTCCCGCACTGGAAGCCACCAACGAGAATTCCCACCGCCTGACGAGAAAAGTCAACAGGCAGTGTACCTATAACAAAACCAACTTCTATCCTGACTACCAACACTTCCTCAGTTCGCTACTGATCGGGGATGGACGTTCAGACCACCACTTTCGACATCCACAGCAGTAGCTACCTTGTACAAAGACCGTTCGAGAGAGAGACAGAGAGAGAGATCTTCACAAAGGCCGTTCGTAAGATACCAGGACAAATCTATGCGAGCGGCGAGTGATACTCAATGATGAAACGTTCTCAGCAGCAGCAGCAGCAAGAGACTGGATTCCAAGCCGCTCCGTGGTGTCAAGATGTACATACACCGAGTAGTTTGGCAGTCCGAAGTCCGAGAGTCCATGCGAGGCGAACCATACAGATTGCCGACTAATTAGTGTTCGGACTACCTACCATTCATTTGGGATAGGATTGGACAGGACCGACCGCCCCGTCAATGACCCGATTCCAAGTCGCTGTTGGAATGTTGACTCTTGAGGGTAGTTAGCGAGGGAAATGACAATGGCCACAACTTTATCTGGTGTCTTTTTGGTTCTAGCCATTCCAAGCCCTGTCTGGAGAGGGCCCAACAGCCGACCCGGATCATGACACAGACCAACACTTTCACAGCCGGCTGACTGCTGCGAACTGAATACTTGCGTTCAGCACCCGAAATCCGCCTCAAATATTGACTGGTGTCCTTTGAGAATCATTATTGATAGGTATAGGTGAGTAAGTTATGAATGTAAGAATGCTATATGTACAGTAGTCTACACGCTTCGGGAGATGCGGCGAAATATGGATATATGGTACAGCGAACCGCAAGCACACACGCCCGAAATAAACCCACTATGGACTCCCGGAAGGCGAATGGGCAGTCAGCACCACCTCCTCGTCGGTAATCTTCTCCTTCGCACCCGCGCCCCAAACCCTCTGCCAAAAACTCTTTTCCAACCCACTCTTCGGCTCCCACAGCGGGGTAGGCTGCCACGCCCTCACCGCCCCGGAACCCGCATCTGCACCAGGGAACTTCCCTTTCCCACCCTTATCCTTCCACAACTGCTCCTCCAGTGCGAGCACCCTCTGCTGCAATAACTCATGCTCGCGCTCCTGCTCCTCGAGCCGCTCCTGGTCCTGGCGCTTCCGTGTCTCGAGTAGATCCAGACGCTCAAGCACCGTATCCCGCCGCGAAGCCTCCTTCCGCTTACTCCGCAGCGCCTCGACAAAGATCAGGGTGCCCGCCACGCTGAACAGGAAGAACTCAGAGATGAAGTTCGCCCCAGCATCGATCGCCTTACTCTCCGTCAACGGCCTGATCCTCGGCGCAGCCACCTTGCCCGCCTCCTTCGCAGCGCCATCCGCCGGCTTCGGCACCGCGGTCACGATATCACTCCGCACCTGGCCCGTCTCCGCCGGGTAGATCGCCTCGGACTCCTTCATCTTCCGTAGGGACTCGTTGTGGCGCCGCAGGGCCTCGGCTTTCTCCGCTTTCTCGATGTTGGCCGAGGTGTCCCGGAGGAGCCCCAGGCGCAGGCGCATATCGATCTGGTGCAGGCGCTGGGCAAGTACGATGCATACTTTGCGGAAACGGGGATGGTCGCGCGCTTGCGATTTTATGCGGGTCGCTATGGGTTTTGCTACGGGGGATTAGCGGTGGAGATGGAGGAGGGGGAGAGGGAGTACCAAGCGTGCGGATCACGAGCGATCCGAGCTTGAGCGCTGTTGTTGACATCTTTTCTGGATTGTGGTGGCCGGAGTGAGGGTGAGAGTGGTGATGCGGGGTGCAATGGAGGGGGGCGGAGGGGTAGCTCGAGCTCGTATCGTCGGATTAGTTTCGATTTCAGTTCTCAATGGCGGCGGAGGGCCATGGGGGTTCGATGTGACAGGAGGGGACGGGGGAAGAGTGTACAATTGACACGACAGAGAGGAGTCACACCCGCAGGCTGCAGAAGAACGAATTGGTGGATGATGCCGGGCCGACCTGTAGATAGAGGTTGTTTAGGCCTCTAAGAGCCGCCATTCCAGGGAAGACAGCGCAGAGCCGCAGGGTTATTGGGGAATCTGCAGAGCATAGCGGCAGTGCGGGCCTGGGGCGGGGCAGGGTCCACCGACTTCGGCTGAAGACTTCATGGTGTGACGGAAATTGATAGTGCATGGTTGGCGAAAACTGGGCAATTGACTGGTGGTCAGGCCGAGACGGAGATGAAGAGATTTACGGGCGGAGGGTCAGTCCGTCCGAGTTTGTTGATGCCACGGGAGTCGGGGACACTGAAGGTTCGGGGCCGGGACCAGCTGGTTTGTTTTGTGGTCCTGGTCCATGGAAAAGCTACACCGGCAAGGCACACCCACCAGCCACCGCCACATTCCGACACCATCGGCTGGCCACAGCAAAGCCACACGGACAGGAAAGCAACAGCCACCGCCACAATCCGACTCCATCGGCTCGAATCACGCCGCTGCTGCAGTTGCCCTGACAACCAAGCCTCCCAAACACGGCTAGCTAATCCGCTTGCTTTGTCTTTGCGAGTCGATGTACAACACACCCACACACATTCGTCTTGATCATAACAACACAACTCCTCACGCTCGAGCAAACAAGTATCGCCGTGAGAATTGCAAGAGGAGGACGCGAAGGAACGCAAGGGCTTCATACACCATTGTTTCCATTTCGATTATTTTGTGCTCTCCAACATTCACTCACCGCGCTAACCGATCGTTGCTGTCCGTTCGAACCAACCAACTGAACGCCCTCTTCCTTCCTCCCGACCCCCGACTCGTCTTTCTCTCCTCCCCCTCTCAGGTTTATTGATACGGATACGATCAGTTTCTCCTGTCGTTTATTGCCTACTCCACGCGGCTGCATTGCGACATCGCCTGTACCGCTACCATGGCCTACCGCCGCCCGGCCCCTCTGGCCTCAATGGAGCCCAACCTCCACCACAACCTGGCACCCCGAGCTACAGCCCACCGCAAGGCCATGACGAACCGCCTACCCGCCTCGCCCCTCAAGAAACAATCCGACTATGAAGTGGTCGCGCCCCTCGCCTCGAAGCCCGCACGTAAGCCGATCTCATCCCGGGCGGCTCCAGTCACCCCGCGGGTCCGCAAGGAACGTAAGAAGTACCTTTGCGCTACTCCGCCGGCAGTGCTGCACGATCTCAAGGGACTGAGAGAGTATGATCGAGGACGACAGCTGGGAGAGGGTGGCTTTGCGAGGTGTTTCCTTGTTCAGAATAAAGATGGGTCCTTGTTTGCGGCCAAGACGGTGTCCAAGAGCAGTCTGCAGAGTACAAAGATGAAGGGAAAGGTTGGTTTCCGTGGCGGATGTGGATGACTCGGTGACTGCGGAGTGCTGATGAGTAGCAAAAAGTTCTTTGGAGAGCTATCGGTTCATAAGACCATGCTACACCCGAATGTCGTCCGGTTCGTGGAGGTCTTCGAGGACGACGACAACATCTATATGATCCTGGAGCTGTGCCATAACAAGTCGTTGATGGACATGCTGCGTCGTCGAAAACGATTTACCGAGCCTGAGACCCGCTTCTTCATACTGCAGCTGATGGGCGCGCTCAAGTACATGCACGGGAAACGGGTGATCCATCGGGATCTGAAGCTCGGCAACATATTTCTGGACGCAAACATGAACATCAAGATTGGCGATTTTGGGTTGGCGGCATTGTTGGTGGATGAGAACGAGAGAAAGAAGACCATATGTGGAACGCCAAATTATATTGCGCCAGAGGTGCTATTTGATGGTGGGAAAAATGGCGAGGGACACAGCTTCGAGGTCGACCTATGGGGGGTGGGGGTGATTATGTATGCAATGCTGGTTGGGAAGCCGCCGTTCCAGTCAACCGATGTGGATTCGATCTACAAGTGAGTTCTTTGTTCCGATTTGCGCTAGAGTGTTGGACGAGTGTAGACTGACATTCGTCCAGGAAAATCAAATCCAACCAGTTCGACTGGCCAGAAGATGTGATGGTTAGCCAGTCGGCGAAGGCCCTGGTTAATTCTCTACTCAACCGCGACCCTAATGCGCGACCTTCACTCGACGAGATTGCGAATCACCAGTTCTTCAAATCCGGACTTTTTCCCAAGTCGATTCCGGTTTCGGCTACCACCACGGAGCCTGTCTGGCCGAGTGCTGGAAACAATCTTGCTGCCGTTACTGCTAGCAGGGCGGAGTGGAAGCGGAATTACGATGCGGTTGCGAGAGCGGCTGGTGTCGGAATCGACTCTACTGGTGCGCCGGTCGAACCTGTCGGCGAGAAACCAGGGAAGCCGGTGGAACCGGTGCCAATGTCGAGACCTCCGTCGGCCATGTCCACTGCATCCAATGAATGTGCGGACATCGGGAAGTTGCTCGAAAAGAAGAAGAAGGAACAGAAGGAGAAGGAAGAGTCGCTCAAGGCAAACGGTGGATATATCCTTCCCGAAGCCCTGTCACCCAGGGACGGTCATGCACGGATGCGAAATATGGGATTGATTAAGAACGTCCCGAGTCGATTGGCTGCTCTAAGAGGTGCCCTACCACCTGGCTTTGTGCCTCAGCGAGAAGAGCTAGCGGCTGCTGCCACAAAGGCTCCCGGTGCCATTCAGGAGGAATCGGAACCCGAGGAGAGTGAGAGTGAAGAGGAGGAGGACGAGGAGGATGAACCGGCCCCGGTCTCAGCTCCGGTTCCCCTAGCGAGACCGAGACAGATGGACAAGGCCCCCATGCGAAGAACTAACTCTGACACTAGAGAGGCTACATCCGCAATGGCACGCGTTCAGATATCGAAATCTGCCGCCCTGCCGCCGCCGCCAGCCCGCCGCGTGACTAGATCCCATGCCGCCCAGCAACGGGCAGCGGTGGTAGAACCAATACCCACCAGACCCGCCCCTCCGGTACAGGCGGAGAGGTCGGCTAGGAGATCGGCCCCTGTCGAAAATCACCGATCTGCTCCAACGGCCGACCCGGCGCCGGCACCGGAGCCTCAACAGTTGTCGCGCGCCCCCTCGGTCACATCGATGCGTGCACCCTCAGTTGCGGAGTCATCGAAAGAGAGGAACAATGGTTCGGCTCAATCATTCGACGGCATTCCTTTCGGATCCACCCTCTCCTCCAGAGTGGGGAAACCCATCGCCCAGACATCAACTACTGCCATCTTAGCTTCGCTCGCTCCAATCATCGTCAACCTTACCGCCTTTGCATCCGGCAGTCTTCGTTCTCTTCCATCGCAGCCCGCCATCACTACCGAAGCGGTTCGTGCTTTCCGCCGTGGGGAGAGGAATAGGGCCGTCTTCATCAAGAAGTGGGTGGACTACACGAATAAATATGGCATGGCCTACATGTTGTCCGATGGTACCTGTGCAACGTTTTTCAACGACAACACATCCCTCGTCGTCGACTCGATCGGAGGGGAGCGTGTAGAATGGATTACGCACTCCCTCGCCGAGCCAGTGCAGGCGGCGCTTGGTGGTGGCAAGGAGACTATCTTCCGACGACTGTTGACGGAGATGTCGGTGATCAAGCAGCGATCCCACAGTAGCAAGGGACTCAGGGCTAAGATGATGATTTGGAGGAAGACGAGCAACTACATGAACAACTGTCTCGGCATCACGGAGCACTGGGGCTGCGATAGGAAGGAGTCTGTCAGGGAGCCGTCTATTGAGCAACTTTCGAATGTTCTACTCTGGGTTACGCACTACGCTCGATTGCGGCGATGCGTCGTGTTCCGTCTCATTGATGGCACCATTCAGGTTGGTTTCGTCCTCCTTTTGATGTGGCCAGTCCGCTAACATTTTCATCCAGTTGAACTTTATCGATCACACAAAGTTGATTCTTACGTCGGCTGCACGAACCATCCGCATTGTCACGAAGGATAATGAACTCCATGTCTTTAGCCTTGAAGACGCCCTCGACCTCTGTCGTAGAGGCGAGCCACTAGCCACTGAATACGGCCTGAAGCAGAAGATCCTATACGTCAAGGAGATTCTGCGGACATGGCACAGAACCGGAAGGTTCCCTGGGGAGATGGATACCGATGGCGAAGAGCCAGTAGTCATTTTGGGAGAAGGACCAGCGGAGTAGATCATACCCTTCGTTCATTGGTGTTTTGTGGTGTTCTCTTCGTTTGTTGCCGGAGCGCATTACTATGGTGTTTGTTCTTCCCTTCGCTCTGACTTTGTTGTTTCTGTTTCCCGTGGGGGCATGGCGTTGTACTTTCTGAGTACTGTTTTTGTTTCTTTCTGGCCGAGCTTTCGCATCATTTGTGGTCTTCTTGTTGGCGCGGGTCTGGAGTGTGGATACATGTCGATACCTCCTTACACATACATACGATCGAGTGGTTGTATCAATGAGCATTGAATGCTTGTGAACTAGCTGCCTGTAGGTTCTATGCATCCAGTGAAAACTGCCGGGTTCAGAACTAGAAGAAATCACCACAGAGTTCAATTGCCGTTGCCGTTGCCCAAGGCTTAAATACTTTAGTAGGTTGGCCATATATATAGAACCGATCATTTCGCTCCTGTCCCGGCTCCGACTGATGGGGAGCGTCTTGACGGGCGTTACCGGGCCAGCCATCTCCGCATAACAGCCCAGCTTTCCTCCAAGCTGCTATTGCTATCATGGTATAGGTACATTTTCTCTGTTCTCTGTCTACACTTCTCTAGGATGGAGGAGAGAACATCAACATATTGTTGCATGCGGCGCGTCTACTATAGAATAGCGGATAAGAGTGTCCTCCGGTCTGCCGATATCGGGCGAGTGACGTTGCATGTCTCGGGCCGATAAACAAGGCATTGTTTATGCGGCTCCGTGCGGCTCCCCTGTGCTAGTCCCCATTCAGGCAAAGCGCCCTTCCTAGAGGTCGGAGTCTGGGGCGTCGCCAGTAAATGAGAGCGAACATAAGAGCAGAGCCCAGAGAGCCTCTTCCCCAAACCACATCACTCTTCCCGTACAGCCCCTACCCACCGCCCACCACACCTGCCCCCACCTCCTCTCGTCCGTTCGTTTCCCGCTTGCTGCCAACTCTACATCCAAATATCCACTGTTGTCCTGCTGTTCTATTGATCGATTCAGTTCGCCCTTCGAGCGACGAAGCGCGACGCTGTCGTGTAGGTTGACACGCGAAATAGACGTCTCGCCCGCCCTTTCGCCGAGCACCCACGCATCCACATACCGCCAATATGTCTGGCCCGGCCAAAGATAACTGGCATCCTCCATCGCACCCTCCATCGCATCCTCCATCGCATCCTGCATCGCATCCACCGACACAACCCGCGCAGCAGCAGCAGCAGCAGCCGCCGGCTGACCAGTCGCAGCCTCCTCCCCCTCAACAACAGTCAAATCCTCAAGGGCCACCGCCTCAGAGCTTACCCCCACACAGGCCCGCGTACCAGTAAGTGCCAGCACGCGAGATACAGGTGGTTTGGGCGCTGACGTGTGTGTCCGTGAAGAACCAGCTCGCAACAGCCACCAGTGCTACCGCCTCCGAGGGATATTGGGGCGGGTGCTTGTAAGTTTTGATCGTTCGCGGTGGATGAGGGATTGGGACACTGATCGTTCGTGAATGCGTGTAGCTTTCTACAACCAGCCTCCGTCGCACGGTCATCCCCTTCCGCTCCCGACGCTCTCGGCCGCGAGCCACCCCGCGTACTCGCTTCCCTCCCTCGGCGCTGGGGCGCCAGGGCCGCCACTACCACAACCTTCACAGCAACAACAGCAACAACAGCAGCAGCAGAGAGAGCCACCCCAAGCACAGCCTATCGCCCATCCGGGAATGCAGAGCAGTCCACAGATGACTTCGTCGGCCGCCGCGGCCGGCATGGGAGGGATGCACACCCAGGCTAGCCCATCGTTAACATCGCAGGTAGCACAGATCACGGGCATGGTCACGGGACAGGGTCCGCCATTGCCTCCACCTCAACAGTCTCAGTCAGCTACAGCTGCTCAGACTCAACCGCCACCAGGTGTTTCGGGCGGAAGTCAGAATGGGCATATGCATACGGTCACTACTGTCACTCCTGGGTCCGCACATGCGGCTGTTGTCGCTGTCGCTGCTGGACCGCCGCCGCCTGCGGGTGCGCAGGGCCCAGCTGGAAATGGGCCGGGCGGGCCCATTTTAAATGTAGGCCACCATATTGTTTTTAAGTCCGAGATGATCCCCTTGCTTTATTACACTTCCCGTGAACCCCGCGTAATGTTCGGTGGTGGTGGTGTTAGTGTTGGCGGCGTCTGTCTCGTTGCTTTGAGCAGATGGAAACTTCCATGCTAGCTGGCCCGCATCAGTTGCAAGCCCTGCTATATGCGGGTTCGCGTGTGGTCTTCCCCCACCTTGATATCCTTCTGCGAGTCCCTGTAACCCTTATCGGCTTCTGGTGGTTGTGTATACTCACAACATTGGTTCCGCAGGATGCATTATCGTACCTTGATCAGGTTAAGTACCAGTTCCAAGATCAGCCCGATGTGTATAACAAGTTCCTGGACATCATGAAGGACTTCAAGAGTCAGGCGTGAGTGGTGTCTGCTCCTTGACATCCCACGTTTTGCGACTGACATATTTGGGTCTCAGCATTGACACACCGGGGGTGATCGAACGTGTGTCCACACTATTCTCAGGGCATCCAGGCTTGATTCAGGGCTTCAACACTTTCCTTCCTCCGGGTTATAGAATTGAGTGCTCCCAGGATCCGAGAGACACTAAGATCACAGTCACCACTCCTTCTGGTATCCACCATGCTTCTTCTGGTGACAACGTATCCATCACTGGCAACACTGGAATCCCGCTCGCCCAATCTATGTCCATGGCCTCGGCCCCTGCACCTGGACAGCCCCCTTCGCGCTTCTACGAGCAGCAGGGCAGTCGTTGGGGAAACAGTGTTGAGGGAATGTACGGACCATACGCTTCTTCTACCAGTCAGCAAGCCCAGGGACAACAGGACGCGATGGAAATCGCAAGACATCAACAAATCGCCCATGCTCAAGCCCAGCATGCTCAAGCCCAGGCCCAGACCCAACAACATGCTCAGCAACAGCAACAGCAGCAGCAACAGCAGCAGCAACAGCAGCAGCAACAGCAGCAGCAGCAACAGCAGCAGCAACAGCAGCAGCAACAGCAGCAGCAGCAACAGCAACAACAGCAGCAACAACAGCAGCAGCAGAATCAACAGCAGCAGCAAGCGGTGGCGCAACAGCAGCAGCAACAGGCAGCACAGCAGCAAGCGCAGCAACTCCAGCAGACTGTGCAGCAGGGTGTCAGTCAATTGCAGACCGCAGCTGCTCATACCAATGGAGCTGGCTCGAAGGGTCCTTCTGCGATGGCTACAGCTTCTGGTCCGAATACACCTGGCGTCGGCGAGAGAGGCAAGGGGCCGGTCGAGTTCAACCATGCGATTAGTTACGTGAACAAGATCAAGGTAATTCATGCATACCATCAGAGTACGTGTTTGGTGCATCGAGGAGATTAACCTGGTGATTAGAACCGCTTCGCGCACCAACCGGAGATCTATAAGAACTTTCTCGAGATCCTGCAGACGTATCAGCGGGAGAGCAAACCCATCCAGGATGTATACTCGCAAGTGACCCAACTATTCCGGGAGGCTCCCGATCTTTTGGAGGACTTCAAACAGTTCCTACCTGAGAGTGCCGCCCAGGCGCGTGCGGCGGCGGCTGCCAAGGCGGCTGCTGAAGAGGCTGCTGCCGGTTCTGGTGCGATGGGCGGTGCGCCGCCGACTGCTGCTGGTTCTGCGAGGATTCCTGCCCTCGGAACGTTTCCTCCCCCACCATCGGTTGCAAAGGAGAAGGGAAAGAAGCGTGGTGGGCAGGTTCCGCAACCGCCAGTTGACCAAAAGGTAGAGACTGTCGTTGGTGTCGGTAGAGCCGCAAATAAGGTAGGCTCGCAGTCCCCATCCTCGTTGCGTATGGTGGGTAGGATGGCTGTCGTGGACGTGTAGCCGTGATTGCTGTGGTGCCGTTCGCGGTTGTACACGAACAACGGAACAAGTTTGGATCATCAGCACTCGTCACACACCACCCATCCTTCTCTACACTCCCAAAACCGTTTACTGACACAGAACAGCGACACAAAGCAGCACACCCCAAGCCAACTCTCGAGCAGCAGATTGCGAGCGTCTCGCCTACTCTTACGCCTTTTCAACCGGAACCGATGGCTTCGCCACAGCAGGCAATGGCGACTACTGAAGAGTTGGCGTTCTTCGACAGAGTCAAGAAGTTCATTGGCAATAAGCAGACGTACAATGAGTTCCTGAAACTACTCAATCTTTTCTCGCAAGGCCTGATGGACAAATCTGTCCTGTACGACAAAGTTCGCAACTTTATCGGTGGAAACAAGGAGCTCCTGGAATGGTTTAAGAGATTCATTCAGTGGGACGGTGTCTCTGAGGAAATCCAAAACACGCCGCAACTAATGAATAAGGTTCGTTTGAGCGTGTGTAGAGCTCTAGGTCCGAGTTATCGGCTTCTTCCTAAACTAGTATATATATCCCTCCCGAGAAAATGGCTAGGTGCTAATCGATTTGTTGCAGGAGGCCCAGAAGCTATGTTCCGGACGGGATGAGACGTGCAATGAAGTGCTCAATGACAAGTGGGCGTCGCATCCAACGTGGGCCAGTGAAGATTCTGGCTTCGTGGCTCACAAGAAGAACCAGTTTGAAGACATTCTCCACCGGATCGAGGAGGAACGACATGATTACGACTTCAACGTTGAGGCGAATCTTCGGACGATTCAGCTTCTGGAACCCATTGCGTCGCGGATAGCAACCATGAATGCGGACGAGAAGGCAAATTTCCGCCTGGCTCCTGGCCTCGGCGGTCAGAGCAAGACGATCTACCAGCGTGTCATTAAGAAAGTCTGGGGACGCGAAGCGGGTCTTGAGGTTATCGAGGCGCTGCATAATGATCCCGTCCGCGCCGTCACTTTGGTTTTGAGCCGCCTGAAGAAGAAGGATGAGGAGTGGAAGGCGGCACAGCGCGAGTGGCAGAAGGTCTGGCGTGACCAGACAGCTAGAGTCTTTTGGAAGTCGCTCGATCATCAGGGCATCTCGATCAAACAGAATGACAAAAAACAGTTCCAGCTCAAGACGCTCGTGGGCGAGATCTCGGCGAAGCGCGAAGAGCAGATGGCCCGTCGGCTTTACCCCACCACGCCGGCTCCGGAGTACCAGTTTGCGTACGATTTCAAGGACACCAACATCATCCTTGACGTTAGCCGTCTCCTGGCGGTGGCTCTCGAGAACGGTACTGGTTTCTCGATCAGCGACAGGGAGAAGATCGATGGCTTCATCAAGAGCTTCATTCCGCTATTCTTTGGCATCAACTCCAGAGACGTCGAGGATACCGTCAACTCGATCTCGCGTAAGACGCCAGACGACGAGGGCGACCCCGAATCGGCGAACCACAGGGGCAGTCGTCGCGGCGCTAAGTCCGACACCAATGATCTGCTCCGGGACGTTCTCAAGCGTGGCAAGGGCAAGAACACGAGGAAGGACAAAGACGAATCTGCCACGTCGCTTACCAACAGCCGCGACTCTTCGCAGGAACCGCATGACGGAGATGTCGAGATGACGTCGCCGTACTCATCCGACCGGCCCGTCAAGGAGGAAGGAAATTGGATAGCCAGGCCAACCAAGCACCTCTCCGGGGTGAAGCCCAACTTCCCGATGAGCCCCGCCGAGCACGACGATCGGCAGTTCCAGAAGAGGACCGTGTTTACCCTCTTCTGCAACAGCACGATATACAGCTTCTTCCGTGCCTTCCAGATCCTCTACGGCCGGCTGGCGGCTGTCAAGGCTACCGAAGAACAGATCCGTGCCGACATCGAGAGGCGAAAGACGGTCAAGGTTGCACGCGAGATCAACATCATGACGCATCGCGTTGAGGACATCTTCTCGGATACCTCCCCGACGGCGAACTACTACAGCCAGATACTGGACATGTGCGAGAAGGTTCTTGAAGGTGAGCTCGACACTGCCGGCTTTGAGGAGACGCTCCGGAGCGTCAATGTCCAGCAGGGATGGAAGCTGTTCACGATCGAGAAGACGTGCAACTCGATCCTCAAGTTTATTCAGAGCATCGTGCCTAGCGACGGCAAGGAGAAGAATACCGAGAAGGAGAAGACAGCCGACATCGTCCTACGCTTCCAGAAGGATCGTGATAATCGTGCGTACGAGAAGGAGGGTGGTGAGTACAGAGAGCTCATTGCGTACCGCAGAGCCGTTGAGGGTATTCTTGGGCAGACGGATGATCTTTACAGGATCGATTGGGTTTGTGCACTCTCTCTCTCTCTCTCGTTCGCGATGTTTGGATGAGAACTGACTGGATATAGCACGAGATTGAGCAAAAGGCGACTATCCGCCTTGTCCCCCGTGGCTCCCCAACTGTCACCTCGGAGCTCGACCGAGACGAGAGCTGGCAGTACTACATATCCACCTTCATGTTGACCTCGCCGACCGAAGGCATCCCTCTCGACCGCTGCAGCAGGGTTTTCCTGCGCCGCGGCTTCCCACAGGAAAAGGACCTCACCACCGATCCCGGCAAGAGCAAAGTCCGCGAAAATATGGAAGTCCGCATCTGTGTCAACACATACCGGCTCTTCTTCATGCCGGGCACCGAGGATCTCGTTGTCAAGGACCCCAAGAGCTGGGCCTCCGTTCCCCCGGGCACGATGGAGAGGAGGAAGGGCATGTGGAAGAAGACGCTGGGCACGCTGGGATGGATGAAGGATACCAAGCCCGAGGAGGTGGAAGAGAAGCAAAAAGAGTGGGAGTCGTTCCTGCGGGGCGATAATGCTCGCAAGAAGCGCGGCAGCGTCGAAGTCGAGGATCTCGAGGATGCTGCTCGGACCACTAAGAAGGCGAAGAGTGGTGAAGTCGAGATGGGCGGTATGTGATTGGGGGGGTTAGTAGTAAAGCTTGTCTTGTTTTTTTTTGCTGCTTTTTCACACGTATATCTTTTTGTTTTTTTCCGCCATTACATGAATTGATTTGAGTTGTGTCTGTGTTCGCTACGGATTGGGGTTTTTTTGTGGAGTTTTGTTTTGTTCACTGGTCTAGTAGTCATCTTAGTTTGATGTCTTGTCTTGTCTGTTTTGTCTTTCTTGTCTTTCTTGTCTTTCCTGTCTTGTCATGTCTTCTTTTCTTGTCTTGTCTTGCAGTTGATGTGCGATTTGGCTTTACGTAGTACGAATTAACGGTACTTTCAACTTTGCTACGTGTTGCGTGGTGCGTGGTGAATCGTTTCCCTTCGCCCAGGCCTCAGGGTGGCTGGCTGGCGGGCGATAGGTGTGGGATGAGGGCTCAAATGCATGGTGATTTTGCAAGTACTCGACTCGACGATAGTTACGAGTAGTTTTAACGAACAGAAAGATCCGGGCGTCTCGTCATGGGTCATTCGGTCCGTAGATAGTGGTGGGTGGGTTCTCGTCAGTGCCGTGTTGCAACAGCTAGAGCTTTTTTTGTTTACTCATTACTCATGAATTACATGCGACTTGGATAAACCATGGCAATATCACAGCCAGAGTTCCAGAACTCCAGAATTCGTCAAAAAGTGTGATAGACGAGTGATTCGCCGTGATCGCAGTGATTCTACAGCATCAAATAGAATAAAATATTCCCTCAAAACACCCAAAGTGCCCGCAAAGCCCAAAGCGTCCACAATTAAGCACAGATATGGAGACCTCAAAGATTCAAAGTCAATGGCACCTCAAAGATCCAAAGACAATGGCACCTCAAAGATCCAAAGACAATGGCACCTCAAAGACCCAAAGATAAGATAGCTTCAAAGATCCAAAGCCAATGAGACCTTGAACAATCAAGGATACAGAGACTGCGAATCAGGTAGAGACCCCAAAGAACAATGCCATAATAGTACATGCGGCTATCATCGACAGTACAAAGTGGAAGCACTGAAACACAGAAGAACAAAAGTATGGAAGCACGGGTTCAGGGCTTGCAACAGAATGAAAAAGGAAGGGCCGGCGCAAGGTTCAGAAGAGTTGAGAGGCAGTGCATTGGCATCACAAGGATAAGTCGCAGAGGATTAGGGCTGTGTGCAGGAAGCATGGGTAGCGCGGCTGTGCAGGGTATGAGTCACGAAAGGAGGGTACTCGCAAGGTGGATTTGTCATGATCTGGCACATGCCCACAATCATTGTCAGGTTGCAGGAAGAAGTGGAGGATTTCCTATATAAACGGGCCGTTGCCCCTTTGTACTGAGTTCTTCATGCAACAACTTGTTAATTCAATCACTGTTACCTCTGTCCTCACCTCAGCTGCCGTCTGCGCCGTAGTTGCTGTTTCCACCCTTGTTTCTCAGTTGCTGTCTGCACCAAGTCCCATCTCGCCTTGTCTTCAGGGCTAGTCATACCTTGCCCAGCCCAGTTCCCGTCCATCTGTCCACCCGTCTTCGCTACCTGGAGCCCAGCCTGACCGTGCCGTTACACTTTGCTGCGTCTCTATCTCTCCACCTAGCGAACCGTCATGGCTGCCAACCCCCAAGCTTCAGATCTGGCCCAACCGGAGGTAGCCACTGCAGTACCCCCCTTTTACGGAGAAATTCCCACCAACATGTGCGAAAAACTTCAAGTGATTGTTAACCACGGCGCACCAGCCGAAGATGCAACCCTGCAGAGGGTGTATAACGGATTCAAGGTCATCGGGTTAGCAATCACCCAGTCACCAATAGCAGCACCAACATGGCGCATAGACAACCTGGAGGAACAACTTGGCGGCGCAAGACTAATCGTCACCCGGCTTGCCACTGTCAAAGCCCAGCCTCAAAGCCGTGCCGAGCGTGTCCCAGAGCCCGCCATGTGCGATGGTACCTGCGAGAAACTGGAAGGATTCATTGCACAAGTTCAACTCAAGCTGTAAAGCGACTCAACCCGGTTCCCCACCCCCGTACTCTGAATGGCCTAAGCCTTCAATCTTTTAGAAGGCCCCGCTCAAACCCAGATCCTGCCATACATACAGGACAACAACATTACACTTACTGACGCCAATGCTATCATCACACTCCTGAACATCGCGTTTGGTGACCCCAACCCAGCGGCCACCGCTGGAGCCAAGCTGCACCACCTGAAGCAAGGCAACAAGGAGTTCACCTCCTACTTTGCGGGATTCCAGATGCTTGTCTTCAAGCTCAATTGGGACGAGCATGCGAAGCTCGACCCGCTGCAAGAAGGAGTATCCATCGAACTCCACCGGCAACTTGTGCGCCGTTGTGACACCCTGGTCGCAGTCGGCCCGGCTTCAGGGTCCCGCTTCTTACCAATGGAAGTTCGGGAAGCATAGTTAGATAGATCGGGGAGCAGGAGGAAACCTTTAGATTAGTCGTAGCTAGTCAGAGACGAGATGGGAAGGAGGGAAGCAAACGGGACCAGAGTCTAGGTGGGATCAGAGGCGCAGCGATACGCATGAAAAGTCCGATACAGTCATGCTTGACTTGAGGCAGGCGAACCGCGAAACAAGCGCAGAGAAAACTCTGATCGGAGACAAACCACTCTGACGAGTGTTGCCCCTCTTCTCGCGTCTTAAGCAAATAAGAGCCGTGCCGAAAGGCGCAGCCGTGGCCCAGCGAAGAGATAGCTGAAACCGGACTATGCTCGGGTAAGGATTGATGCGCCATACCTGCCTAGTTTGTATAAACTATCCTGAAGGCTTACGACGACTCTGATGACATGGCGGAGAAAATCTCCGCACCAAGTGCAGAGATTTCACGCCAGGGTTTCCATCCGGCAACAAGCTACGGCAACAGCTGGCACGTTATTCGACCAAATCACCCAACTATATAGATGTGACACCCCGATAGGTATCGGAGGTCACGACGGTCGCAAGAGATGTGATTAGATAGTTCGGGTGATTAGAATAGAGTTGCGAGCCGAAAGGATAGTTAGAAGCGATCAAGGACAAGATAGGAAGGAGGGAGCAAACGGATTCCAGAGTCTAGACAGTGATCGGAGATGCGGGAGATCGGGATAACAGTCCAGAGGACTTTGAGATCTCCGATCATAGGGCCCCGCAGTAGGAACTCTGATCCAGGAAAAAACTGTTATGACGAGAGAATCGAACATCGACCGATGGGGGCAGACAACTTCGAGCGAAGAACTCTGCCGGCGCATGAGGGAGATAATTGCTCGGAAACTCCGATCTATCTTGGGCGCGTGGTGTTTACCACCTGCCTAGTCGAGAAGACTATCCGAAGAGAGCTGACGACGACTCAAGGCTAGGCCGCGGAACTCCGATGCAAAGGAAGCAACGGAGCTACGTTAGGCCGCACTCTAGAGGAATCACGTGCTGAGGATCGGGACGGCTATAAGTCGAACCGAGCGGGCAACCGAACAAACTACAATCATCGCACCGAACAAACCATCGAACAAACACCCTTAAGATTATTCCGTTGTGAATTGTCGAAATCCCTGACTTTTATTCTATCCTCGATATCACCATAGACTCCGACGGCACCAACCCGTCCCAGTCTCACACTATAATCTTAAGGTTACAGTCACCGATTTCTATCGATATGTCCTCCTCAAACCTCGACATGCTCCGCCTCCAACTTCCTCAGACCCTGAGCAATGCGCTCGTTAGCATCCCGCAAGCATCCGAAACCGTCGAAGTACGAAACCCGGCAGCCTGGCTCAGGCTGATGAACCACCAATACCAAACGGCACAAAGAGACCTGCGCCAGCTTTACCAAGCATGCGGTCAGAAGTTCAACGAAGAGGACTCCCGAATGCAGGAAATCAGAAGGAACTACGAACAACTCTGCGATGGGGTCAAGTATGTGTACAACCTCTACGCTCACAATGCCGAAATGAATACAGAATGGCTTCGAACCGAGCTGTCAACGGTAGCGAACGCGACGCACGCCCTGAGCAGCGACGTATGGGCAGTCATTCGAGAACGTAACCAGAAAGACGAAGACAACCGCGAGTTGCAAAGCGTCGCAAACGCTCGGCTACAAGACGCCATCGTGTTCCTCGAAACGGCGCAAGTCGAACAACGCAGGGAGCAAGCGGTGTACAACCGCAACGTGGAAATTTGGGCAGGGAAACAGGAAGAGAAGGCAGAATACCTCTACAAGGAGCAACAGCGAATCAAGGAAAAAATCGCTCGAGCAGAGAAAAAATTGAAGGCTGTAGAGGTAAGGACAGGGAAGGCGAAGGAAAAGGCCCCGGAGTGGGTAAACACTACCCCAAGAGGAGGATCGCGGGCAGAAAGGTCAGCAACAAGGGAAACTCCGGCAGGTGCAGGAATGTCCCCTCCTCCTCCACCCCCAAGACGTCCGGTGACTAACCTTGGAGGTGATCCCTCGGATGAGGAACCATCGGATGATGACGATTCCATCCCCTTGCCGCGTCGTTCGCCGCCCCGTCACCGACACGCTCCGCTACCAAGAGAAGACGACGAAGACGAAGAGAGTCGCTTCGCTCGGATCATCGCTGCTGCCGTCTCCGCATCGAACCCGAGGGCCATCAAGCTTAAAATGAAAGAGCCCAAGCCGTTCGATGGCAAGCAAAGAACAGCCTTCCGTCCATGGTGGGACTCAGTTGAAGAATATCTTGAGTTCCACCCAGAGACAAACGAGCAGCAGAAGATAGCGTGGGTGGGATCCCGACTGGAAGGGACAGCGGCAGAATGGCATCAGGCCCGTCGAAAAAGCCTGAGACAGCTACACTTGGAAGATACCTGGCAGGCGTACCAAGAGGCACTCAAGGAGGCGTACCGCGACACGCAGGAAGGAGCGAACGCATTAAGAAGGATGTGGGCCCTCGAATACAAAGGAGACATTCAGGCTTACATGACCTCCTTCCGATCGCTCAACATGATCGCTCGCGCCACCGGCGAACCGCTACAAGACATAGTCAACCAGGCCATGACTACCGACATCG